TTAGGACCACTTGGGTTATCATTACAGAGAGATATAACATTTATTACTATAGGGGTAAAATTAATAAAACATTTATGAACATTTGGCTCTTCCAGCATACAACAAATACGTAATCAAATACTGTGTATCCTAACAGGGATATTATATGGAGTGAAAATATTATGTATTATTACACAAGCAAGCAGAGTTGGTCAACACAGTTTTCACTCTCCGCTGTCTATTTCAGACACACCATACATTAGGATTACCCAACTAGCAGAAAAGAAAAGCTGAATATCTTACCAAAAAAATAAGGCACTGGAATTAGTGTATGCATGACATGCATGGTTAGCTTTTAATTTAAACCAAACCTCAAATATAAACATACAGTGAATCAATTTTGAATCAATTGAAGTATGCATCATGTACTAAAGAACAATAATTACAAAATTCCTTTTTCTTTTATATTTGCATATATTAAAACATCACAATTCATTATAAAGTCTTTTTTCTATTTAAAACAAAATATATCTTGAAATAAAAGTTAATTATTTTCAAATAAAAATATATATATTTATGACAAAGTTTTTTTTTTCATTTTGGGTTAGACTCTTTTTATCAAATAGCCTAAAGCTTGGAGGTTTTTAAACAAATTTATTATAATCAGTGGTATACTGTATTACAGTAGCGCACTTTAGTTGGGTTAGTATTCTGTTTACTATGTGTGCTGCATATAATACAAAATAGTGTATGTTTATGGGAGCCCTACACTTGGGCAAAAATACACATGTGCCAACCAACAATTCCCTAAATCACTGAGCCAGCCAAACCCACCCACATGAGGACATTACTCTGTATTTGCTTCATGTAAGCTAGCTAGTGTTGTCATATGTCATATTTTAAAATATAGCTGACCACCATTTCTATTGAACTAAAATTAATAAAAAAAATAATTTTCAGTATCTCCTTTTAAAACACCTCTATAATGTATTTTTTCAGGGGAGACAAACACAAGCAACCCCACGTTAACAGATTGTAACGTTAGGAGCTCTTGACTAAAAATGGATGCATGTTGGCCAAGGGGGCAGTCATGTTTATTACATTTTTCTGAGAGCTCCTCTGCTGACCCAAAGGTTAACAATGTGCCTACCAACCACATCCTGCTCCATTACACTGCACACGTACACTGAAATGTAATAGTTTCTTACTGTATTATTTCAGCTTCTTAAAGGGAAACTCCACCATTTTTTCAAAATCTCTATATAATTAAATGGTTAACATGGAAACAAAGTCATTCAGAGTGGTTTGATGTGCAAAGCTCTGTTATAGAGAAGCTTGCCAAATCAGAACTGTTCACAGTGGTGGTGACATAGTTTTAAAAGCTTTGCAATAGTTTTGAGAAGTTTTTGGCCTAAATTGTATTTTTGAAAAACATTCATGGTGAAGAGTTATATGCAGTATGTTGTAAGGCAAAATTTTCCCAAAAGAATACATACTTTTTCATATTTACCACTATTGAACCATTATGAACATATCGTTGTTGTCCAAAGAAAAATAAGTATCTTCAAAATAGTAACTTTACAGGAGAGAGCAAAAACACTCTTAACTTTTACTGTACGTTAATGTAAAGAGGTTTTATTCCATTTTAGAGCATATCTATTGGTCCATTCATCCATGAAAGGACAGCTGGTGTGTTGAAATGGTGTAGAAAACTAAAAATCAACAAAAATAAAGAAAAAATGTTTTTTTTGGACAGCAACGATATACAAACTCAGATAACACCTTTTGGTACACAGGTGGTTTTTGAATAGTAAATAAAGTGGCTATAGTTTTGTTGCAGACATGGCAACCTCCTATCCCTTCCACCAAGGTTCTCTATAACGTACCATTTCACAACAACTGAATTGTGGAGAAATTTTGAGAAATCGGTAGAACTTCCCTTCTGAAGCAATCGTATATATATATACACACACACACACACAGTATAGTGAAATAATATACTACTATGAAAATAAGTGAATTAATATCCTGCCATGAGATGTCTTAACTAGGCAGAAACAGAGACCTTGTGTATGCGTTTCCTTTTGGCAAAGCCATGCGTAACAGTGAGAAGTAAGCCCCCCTTGTTATGAGCTCACCTTGCTGTGACATTGTTTCGTGCTGCAAACTGGAGAACTGTTTTAATTAACACGATTGTAATTGAAGGTGAGAACAGCCGTGCCAGTGATTGTTGCTCTTTTGTGCTGAGCACGTATCTAAATTAGACATGGCAAAATGACGAGGGCATGATCCCAGACGGCAGTCCTGGCACCAGACTCATCGGGCCTTGGTTCATCCGAGTCATTTCAGTGCGGCACGGATTCAACAGCTGCATGTGAGCGGGGTCTTTTGATGGCTTGGGAGCATTTCCGCACCTTCTGATCCTCATCATAACTTAAAACAAATGAAAACAAACCTTGGTCGATCCCTCTTTCGGAGTCGTTCGTGTCTGGATAATCTGCCACATTCACAAAAATAGTATGTGCATAAAGCACAGCAATTAAATCTGTTGCTGATATAGGCCTACTGTAGTCATAGACCTAATAAAGCACCTGATAAGTGAGACAAATATATGAAAAGAATAACCTTAGAAAATCTGTTATGAAACTAAGCACATATGGAGAATGTTCCCTACACATTTACTCTCCTCTGTTTCTGCAAACAGTATGTCAACATTTTGACTTAGTATCTCAAAATAATCACTTATTTTCTTCCAAATATTGACTTAGTATCTCTATATAATATCATTTCTTAACATATTGACATACATATGTCAAGATTTTGACTTATTTTCTCAAAATAGTAACTCATTGTGTTAAAGTAATCTCGAAATATTGACTTACTCTCTCGAAATAGTGATATATTATCATGAAATAATTTTTTACTTTCTCAAAATATAATATCTCATTATTTTGACATAATGTGTTGGAACTTTGTCTTAATAAATGAGTCCTGAGAAAATAAGTCATTATTTTGAAATACTAATTCAGGGATGTCCAATCTTTTCCGCAAAGGGCCGGTGTGGCTGCAGTTTTTCATTCTAAACAAGCTGGAGGACACCTGATTCTACCAGTTTAATCAGTTGGTCTCAGTCCTGCAGCCACACTGGCCCTTTGCAGATACGATAAGGTGCCACTGAAGTCAAAACTTTGACAAAATAAATAATTACTTTGAGAAAAAAAGTAAATATTTCAAGAAAACAAGTCATTATTTCAAGATCATTAGTCAAAATGTTGACATACTGCTGCCAGAAACAGAGAAAGTATGGGTGATTTTGCTGCTCTACTTGGCTGGAATGGGTTTCCATAGAAACTAGTCCCTGAACAGGAGTTAAATTTACAATGTGCATGAAATGAGAGAATGTGATCACACCGAAAAAGTACTTTTGGCAATAATTTTGTTGATGTAGCATATTCCTGTACAATAAATGAAAACAAAGTCAGTGCATTACTATTTCAGTGTATAGTATGCATACATGAAGTTTCAGTCCTTTAAACTCATTTATTACTCTATTTTTTGCACCAGTGTGCTATATAGATGCAGCTAAGCTGCAGTAGAACCTTTACATTATGTAGACATACTATAAACCTTAAAAAACTGTCTTTACATTCACACAGATCATTTAAAAAATGTTTCTTTACAGAAATACCCAATGATCTTTATACCAGGGACCAACTGTTTTTGTAAGAGGAAATATTATGCACAATTGACACATTTTATCACTGTATGTGTTTATCTTTCATTATTGTTCAATTAAAAAACATTCTTTAATTGTAACATAATGTAGGAAGTTTTATTACAAGTTATTTTGTGCCATTTGTGTTGGTCTATTCTTCATAAAACTACACACAATGTAAAAGACAGCTGGCATTTTCAATGGTGTAAAAATAATAAAGGAAAACAATGCAGTTATGAGATTTAGATCTGACAGTTATAATATACTTTATTGCTCCTACTCTTTGAGGCTGTTTGAGAGTTTGAAAAGTAACCCATCAGCAGTGTCACAATGCTAGTTGGTGTTTACACCCTGTTCACCACAGAACATCTCCTTTGTGCGTGACATTGCACTGTGGAGACATTGATATTGATGTGGATTAGGCTATTTTATAGTGTGCTGAGCTAAATATAACTGCTCCTTGTGCATCTTGGAAGTTGTCTGTGAACAGGTTGGTGCTGCCCAAACAACACATGTCCATGTATAGGATTGAGGGTGCTTACCAAGGACAATGGCTCTGTATAAAAGGAGTAACAGAGGGAGCCTATGATCCATCCTGGAAACCAGATAGGTAAGTCTGTCATCTCTTTTCTTATATGAAGAGGTTTAATTCTAGCTAGAAAGACTTTAATTGAATTTGTCAGTATACTGCTGTGGTAATTCCATACGAAAATGTGTTTAATTAGTGCACTGTATTGTAGAAATGCACAGATGTGGACTTCTGCTATTATGCCTTCTGTCCTCTGAAAAGATCTCATTTTAGTCAGAAAAAGAGTGACCTCCAATAATTTCAGTATAGTATTATATTTGCAATTCTGCAACTATAGTGGAAGGGGATCTCCACTGATTTAAAAAATATATATTATTCAATCATGAGACATTCAGAGTGTTTTGTTGTGAATTTCAGAGAAATTCATCAACTTCAATATCCTTACAGTGGAAGTGATGGGAACTAGGGGTTCACCATGTCTACAGTGCAAATATAGCCATTTTATTTATCATCCAAAACAACCAGTGAAGCTACACGTGTTCTGAATTTTTTAATGTAATGTTGATTGTGGAAAAATCAAAATAAATTAGTTTTATGTACTACCTATGTCTTAGAACACCCTGCATGTACCTCTGTGCCATGAATGGATTTAAAAAAAACATGTTTCAGGCCAAAACCTTTTAAGGCATCAGGCAACGTTTTTGTAACTATTTCATATTTTTTCATATTTCTTCATATTTCATAGTTTTCTGTGAGCTTTTAGAGCCATTAAATGCTTCAGACGTCTTGTTCCTATCACCACCACTGTGAACAAGTCAGGTTTCAAAACAAAGCGTTCAGAAAAGCGTGCTTTGTTTACATCTTAATAAATTAATTATGCAGCATTTCTGAAAAACAATTGGAATTCCCCTTTAAATGTTGCATTGATGTTTTGTATAGCTAAATAATATGGACTTGTGCTATAATGCGTCCTCATCTGTTCTGCTTCTAAAAAGATTCTATACGATACTACTGAGCTACTGTTTATCTTCATGTGTCAACTTGTGTGATTTTGCTTTCTATCAAAAAGGTGATCTCTACAAACGTCTTCTAAAAGGCTAAAGGTAAGTCTTGCAGTACACAAAGTCCATGGCAGTACAACCAAATCCCACTTCTTTGATATTTCAGTTCTTTCCACTCTTGTCGCTGATCCGCAGCTCTGGTAAAGAGGCTTAGGATGAGCACTGATGCTGAGATGGCTATCTTCGGGGAGGCCGCCCCGTACTTGCGCAAAACCGAGAAGGAGAGGGTTGAGGAGCAGAGCCGACCCTTTGACAGCAAAACAGCCTGTTACGCATACGATGACAAGGAGCTGTACGTGAAGGGGACCCTTCAGAGCAAAGAGGGCGGCAAAGCCGTGGTCGACACTGAGGATGGCAGGGTACATCTGCAGCACATCATCTGTGAAAAATATTAGAAAGACAGCATACAACTTTAGCTCTGCATTACATAATATTTTTGTTAAAAATGAAAGAAGCATCATAAATACACTAATACAGTAGACACAAATATTGTTTGACATCATCTTGTAAAGCTCAAATGATTCATTTACAAGTCAGTAGTACTACTTTTAAAACATAACATGGTTTTGTTGGTACTTAGCATTTGTATTATGCAAATTAAGTTATATGTCATCTTGCTGATTTTCCAGAAAGTTTTATAACTTACACTCAAATAAATAAACATAATAGAGGGGTATAAGTGTCAAAAAGTGCAAAATGAATTTCCATGGCACTCTTCTATGTTCAACAAGTCACTTCAATGTTTTGCGGCATCAAGGAAGCTCAAACCAGTAAATTTCATATAGGTGTTATTAATACCAACATCTGATCAGTCACAAGATTTAGTCTGAGCTTAGTAATGACATTCTCCCACATAACATATTAACATATAGGAAAAAAACAAATAGGACATGCCATGAATTTTGCACAGGCCACATTATATGTTGGGTTTTTTTCCCAGTATGTTCAATTCAGCAAATAAACAGCATGTGTGTATATATATATATATATATATATATATATATATATATATATATATATATATTTATTCATATATATGTACAAATTTTAGTGCACAATTTCTGTGTATTTGCTGAGTTTATTTATTTACTTGCTTGCTTATTTATTTATTTATTTATTTATTTATTTATATGCCAGACTGTGACTGTCAAGGAGGACCAAGTCTTCCCAATGAATCCTCCAAAGTTTGATAAGATTGAGGACATGGCCATGATGACTCACCTCAATGAACCGTGTGTGCTGTTTAACCTCAAAGAGCGCTACGCAGCATGGATGATCTATGTGAGTCCTCACTATACAGTGATGCATGCTTTGTTTGAGTAATGCCATAGTCCTCATGAAGATTTTACATGTGTACTCTCATGTAATATCTCATTAAGCTGCTTTAACTGTGACAACGTTTAAAAAGGTGCTGTTGAAGATATTCTAGGTGTTTCTAATTTTGTTTGACAGACCTACTCTGGACTTTTCTGTGTGACTGTGAACCCCTATAAGTGGCTTCCAGTCTACAACCCAGAGGTGGTGACTGCGTACAGGGGAAAGAAGCGGATGGAGGTTCCTCCTCATATTTTTGCCCTGTCTGATAATGCCTATCAGTTTATGCTTACTGGTATGACAAATCAGGTGATATTTCTCCAAACTGTTTTTGAAATAGATGTCTGTCAAAACGACTATGTTGTTATGTATGCATGTTATATTGTGGTGTTTTATTTTATGTCTGGCAGATAGGGAGAACCAGTCTATTCTCATCACGTAAGAATGTTTTCATTTATTCGTGACTCCTTGAACTGTAGACCTATTATTTGGTAACTATGAATTACTTAACTACTATGACACCAATATGTAAGTTATGTAGTTAAGTGTGAAGTGTGAGTCCACATACAGGCTGTTAGGATTAAAAATACCTAGGCATTATTATTATCATTATTATTATTATTATAGAGATAAAAAAAAGATATTATGTTTTATATGTCAACAGTCTGCTACTAATTGAATGGGATTTGTCTTTCCCAGTGGAGAATCCGGTGCAGGGAAGACTGTCAACACTAAACGCGTCATTCAATACTTTGCGACAATCGCAGTGTCTGCAGACAAGAAGAAAGAGTCCATCAGCAAAATGAAGGTGAGCACTGGACAAGTTGGTGCTGTTATTGCTTTGACTTGTGGTCTTTTTTACTGAGATAAATGTTGTCTTTCAGGGCACCCTGGAAGATCAAATCATCCAGGCCAATCCTCTCCTGGAGGCTTTTGGGAATGCCAAGACTGTGAGGAACGATAACTCCTCTCGCTTTGTGAGTCGAGACAAAAATTTGCAAGCTTTCAAATGTGTAGTACATCTTAAAATAGACTTCTAATGCAGCAGCACATGTTTTTCTCCAGGGTAAATTTATCAGGATCCACTTTGGAACAACCGGGAAACTGGCATCAGCAGATATTGAAACTTGTGAGTGTCTTGTTTTTTTAATCCCTGCATTTTAAACTGTGCATTGTACTAATAGTGAGTTGGCAGTTTATTACAGTACTGTGCAAAAGAGACCACCTTTCATTTATTTAATTTTTAAATAAAATTAATGGCCATTAAGTACAAATTATTCATTTTTCACAATTCACTTGCATAAGGAGGGGAACGTCAAAGTAAAAAAAAAAAAGCTAAATCAAAAACAAAAAACAGAAGTTTCCAAAACGAGTTCAAAAAGTTTTTAAAAGATACAGATTAGATAAACAGTAGAAAGAGGAGAAAATCAAGCTCCATTCTTCCTTCAGAGACGAAAAAAACCCTCAGGTGTTTCTGTCTATCCTTCCACTCAACACTATGAGCCTGAAAAGACTTGTAGCGGTCAAAAAGCCACTACTGAGAAAAGGAAATAGGCAAAAAGAAGAACATTTGCAAATTAAACAAAGAAGCTGCTGGTGTTCTCAAAACAATGGACTGACCATGGTGTAATAAAGGCAAAGTGGACAATACTTTTTAAATTACATAAAATACATGAAATTTTAATGTTATATTTATTTGTTGTCTGTTCTTTGCAATTTTCTATTGAATATGTTTTCTGCATTTTTCTGTGACTTTGATGGCCATTTTGACTGGAAATTAAATAAATTTAGTATGTAAAATTTGTTAGTTTACAGTGGGCAGGGACCACCACAGGACCACCACCACCACCTGATATTCTTTTGGTACTGGACCAGGTCAGCGGTGGTCATTGATGGATGGGCTGGAGGCTAGCTAACAAATTGTACAGCAACATATGGGCTATAATCAGTAACTGTAGTGCACTTTATATGGAATGTAAATCTGATGAAATTGTCAATGAGTCTAGGTACACAGTAGGGTTATATAATCTGACAACTCACATTAGTGCTATGTGCCATAACTTGGTTTTCATTTTCTTTTTTCTGTTTATTTTGAAATACAGACCTGCTTGAAAAGTCCAGGGTGACATTTCAGTTGGCTGCTGAAAGAAGTTACCATATATTCTATCAACTGACTTGCAACAAGAAACCAGAGCTCATAGGTAGTAGTCTCATAAACATACACACAAATGCATACACCCACTCAGATAGACATAATTACCTTTACATGTGTCCTTTTCTTATCTTTCAGATATGCTCCTTATTACCACCAATCCATACGACTTTGCCTTCATCAGCCAAGGAGAGATTAGCGTGAGGAGCATAGACGATGCAGAGGAGCTGGTGGCTACTGATGTCAGTCAAGATAAGTGGACTGAATAATTAGATGGTGCTCATTTAAACATGTACATTGATCCACATTCTTTGTTTTTAAGGAAGCCATTGACATCCTTGGCTTTACTTCCGAAGAGAAAGTTGGTATCTACAAGATGACTGGAGCGGTGATGCATTATGGGAACATGAAGTTTAAGCAGAAGCAGCGTGAGGAGCAGGCTGAACCTGACGGCACTGAGGGTACATACCACATCCATACATTCAACCTTCTTACATGTGTACAACACTAAGCAAAAGTCAGAGACCACCTTCCATTTATTTAATTTCTTGTCAAAAAGGCCATTAGCTGCAAGTTATTCATTTTTCCAATATTTCTGAGGAGATATAAGATAAGCCATTTTCATAAGGAAAGAGAAAGCCAAAGGAAGATAAGTCAAAACAGTTTTAAAAAGAAGTTCAAAAAGTTATTGAAGATACAGAGAAAATGGGACTCCAAACAACTGTGCAAGACCCGGTAGACCACCAAAACTGTACCTCAATCTTTCATCTCTGAGAGAGAGAGGAGAAAATCAAGCTTCACTCTTGTTTCAGATCTTAAAGAAATCTGCAGGTGTTTCTGTCCATCCTGCCACTGTGAGAAGACAACTCAACGCTATTAGTCTGAAAGGATGTGTAGCTGTTGTGTTCGTTTTGTATTACTGAGTAACAGAAAGAGACAAAATTAGAAGAAAACTTGCAAATTAAACAAAGAAGCTGCTGGTGTTCTCTGAAGAATGGACCGGTGTCTAGATTTCAACATCATTGAATGGGTGGGATTATCTGGATTGTGAGAAGCAGGAAATGCTACAACCTTCTAAGACTTTGGAGGTCTGGAAAATGCAGATTTCCTTGAAAAGAAAGTCTCCCAAACAGAATGGAAGGTGTAATAAAGGCAAAGGATGGACACACTAAATACTGAAAACAAAAAGATATTATATTCAGTTGTTGAGTCTTCTGTGACAAATGAAGGGTAGTCGCCGATATTTGCGCAGTATTGTATATTATAAACACTGGTGTAATATATATATATGCTGATATGATGCGAATTTATATGATATACAGAGGCAGATAAAGCTGCTTACCTGATGGGCCTGAACTCAGCTGATCTTCTGAAGAACCTCTGTTACCCCAGAGTTAAAGTGGGGAATGAATTTGTGACGAAGGGCCAGAATGTGCAACAAGTAAAACACAAATCTTATGTACTTCAGCCAGTGTTTCTCAGTAATATCGGACCAACTGGCCAGTGCTGTTGCACCAACTAATGCCAGTGCTGTTGTATCATTTCAGGTGTATAACTCAATTGGTGCCCTTGCCAAGTCTGTCTATGAGAAGATGTTCTTGTGGATGGTCATGCGCATAAACCAGCAACTGGACACCAAACAACAGAGACAACATTTTATTGGGGTCCTTGATATTGCAGGGTTTGAGATTTTTGATGTAAGTTTCTGATGCCTTATATTTGCATCATAAAAGTTTTATTAATGAAAAGTATTACATACTTGTTACTATGCCCAACAATTTTCCAGTCTGTGGTCCGTCATTGTAACTTTTTTTTACATGTCTCTGATCATAATCTAGTTCAACACACTGGAACAGCTATGCATCAACTTCACCAATGAGAAACTGCAACAGTTTTTCAACCACCACATGTTTGTGCTGGAGCAAGAGGAGTACAAGAAAGAGGGAATCGAATGGGAGTTCATAGACTTTGGAATGGACCTGGCTGCCTGCATTGAGCTAATTGAGAAGGTAAACTATAACACTACATTACTTATAAGTAATTTTCAATAACCATTGCAGTTCCTGACCAGCTGCTTTTGTCCAACAGCCAATGGGCATCTTCTCTATACTTGAGGAGGAGTGTATGTTTCCCAAGTCTACCGATACTTCCTTCAAGAACAAGCTCTATGATCAACATCTGGGCAAGAACAATTGCTTCTTAAAGCCCAAGCCTGTGAAAGGCAAGCCTGAAGCACACTTCTCCTTGGTGCACTATGCTGGCACTGTGGACTACAATATCGCTGGCTGGCTGGAGAAGAACAAAGACCCTCTTAACGAGTCTGTTGTACAGCTGTACCAGAAGTCATCCGTGAAACTGTTGGCGCTGCTGTATGCAAGTTATGCTGGAGCGGGCGGTAAATGTGCACTTCACTCTCCAAATAATCCAAGCTGCTGACTGTGAAGCTATTTGCACGCAGGAAACGTCCAAGAATAGTTTTTCCTCAGAGGTCCTTCTGAGTGCATAGTGTAAACATTACATTAGACCACACTCCTATAATTTTGATGACCCCACAAATTCTATGCACCACATGTAGGGCCAGCTTTTGAAACACATACTACACTAAACTACAATGATGAATGGTATTCTCCATTGAAATTCATTGTTGTTTGTCATGTTATGTAATATTCTGTAACTTTATGTGAAGGCTACCTACACAGGTATTCATAACACATGGCATTTATTGAGCAATACTTGAATATTTATAAATAGCTTTTGCCAGTAAATGCAAGATGACAAGATATTTTACAACATTGTATTAAAACAAGGTTCTTAATTAAAGTGATGCACATTTAACATTTTCCATTTATTCCATTTATAACACAGTTTTAAAACATTATTTCCAACCAATGGACTTCATACAGCAAAGGCCTAGTTTAAGAACACCGCTTATCAATTCTATATATATATTCTATTTAAGTACAGTTTCTATTAAAAAGACCTGTGTGGCTGCAGTCATGAACAGCTAACTCTGTTTGTTATGTCAGTCCCTCAGGTCTCCTTGATAGAAATTTTTCACTTAAGTTTTGATACTTTGATGTACATTTAAAAGCAAATAAGTAGAAATACAAAGAGGGAACATTTATTCAAGTACTATTTTACCAAGGGTATTTATACTTTTACTCAAATATAGAATTTTATATATAATCTATGAAAATTATCACCTAAGTTTGAGGGCATCAAATCTTATGATAAAAGAAGGTAATGAAGTGGTATTATATGGGATGTCTGTCTGTCACTTCAGTTTCAGGTCCCATATGTCAGTACAATATGTACTTTATAAAACATGTTATATTATCTTGTGATTACTGGCATAAGTTATTTATAAATATTCAAGATAAGATTAGACTTCATTGTCACTGTAGTTATACAATGAAACTTAGTTTGGTACAAAATAAAATACAAACAGCAATAAAAGCATACGGGTATAAACAGGTATTTCACAGTAGATATTGCACAAATTTTAATAATAATATTTACAGTCCTGGATGTAAAGTATTCAGTGTGTTAGCAGCTGGGGTTGGCGGTGGGGAGGGGGAATATGACAGGCTGGTCTGTTTGCTGCCTGCAGTCTTCAACAGCTATGAGTGTGTTTGGGGGGGTGTAATGGAGGCTACAGCCCTGGGGAAGAAGCTGTTCCTCAGTCTGTTAGCGCATGTCCTGATGGTCCTGTATCTTTTGCCCGATGGGAGGGGACAAACAGTGTGTGACCTGGTTGGGCTGAGTCCTTGATAATGTTGCTAGCCCTCTTACGTAGGTGGCTAGCATAAACTGTGCCCAGATTTGGGAGCTTGGTTCCTACAATCCTCTGTGCAGTCTTAACTGTCTGGGCCAAAGTTTCTCCGGTTCTCTGCAGTACAGCAGGTGTAACACCCTGTGATGCAGTAGCAGAGAATGCTCTCTATTGTGCTTCTGAGAGCTGAGAGGGGAGTTTGGCTTTTTTAAAAGCTTTCTCAAGCAGAAGAGCCTCTGCTGAGCTTTCTTCAGCAGGTGGGAGGTGTTAAGGGTCCACATCACACCCCTTTGTGATGTGGAGTCAAGTATTGCTTTATATGTTATAAACAATGTTTATTCATGTGTTATTAAGTCCTCATGTAGATAGCTTTTGAATAAGGTGTTACCTAATAATCTGTAGTGCGGCCTTGCATCACTCTGCCTCATCAGTTTGACAGAATTAACAATTTTGTATACTTTTGGTTTTTGTCCATCAGTGTTCTCTCATTACAATACCCAGAATGCATTATGCAAATATGTCATAGATCCACATCCATAAATACAGATGTGGTATTCAGCTTCCTACCAGTATTGTTAACTATCTGGCTATTTTTAAGTATCTGCACCAAAGAGCTTTTCGAAAGTTCTACTTTCAAGATACATCATCAAAAAGGGATATTCCTAATCTCTAAACTGGAAAATCTTGCTCTATAGACGGTCCATACTGTTGTACATCCACCATAAAATGTAGAAATGAATCTTTGTTGCTGTGTTTCTCTGACCTATTGTTGTTATAGACCCAAGTGGCAGTGGTAAGAAAGGAGGCAAAAAGAAAGGAGCATCTTTCCAGACTGTCTCTGCTCTTTTCAGGGTTTGTGTGGCATTGATATCTTCATTCACAGCTCATAAATATTTATCCTTCTGCAACAGAACGTCATGAATGATTTATCATTCTCTATTCACAGGAAAACTTGAACAAGCTGATGTCTAATCTTAGAACCACGCATCCTCATTTTGTGAGGTGTTTGATTCCAAATGAAACCAAAACCCCAGGTACAGAGTGAAGTGTTATAAAACCATCAGAACTTTGAGAAACAACAGGCAGGCTCGGATTAAGTTTGCCCTTATTTCCTAACCTTTAATGTTTTTGGAAACAGGTGTGATGGAAAACCATCTGGTTATCCACCAGCTTCGCTGTAACGGTGTTCTGGAGGGTATCAGAATCTGTAGGAAGGGCTTTCCCAGCAGAATCCTGTATGGAGACTTTAAACAGAGGTAAATGAATCAATTCATCTCTGATTTCTGATGGGATGTAGTGAATGAACGAGGGTCATCAGCATCAATGTCGGTTCTGGGTTCCAGGTACAGGATCCTGAATGCCAGTGCTGTCCCCGAGGGCCAGTTCATGGACAATAAGAAGGCTGCGGAGAAACTGCTAGGCTCTATTGACATAGATCACACTCAATACAAATTTGGACACACCAAGGTATTGCATCTACTTGTAATATGTATTCAGTTTTACATCTATATTATGAATGCATCGAATCTTAAGGAATGATGCTTATGTCAACAAGTTAAACTAATAGATACACTATAATAATTATTAGGGATTTCCAGTGATTTGAAATGAAATCAAATGGATAATGAAATGATTAACATGAAATTGCTAATGAAATGATAAAAAAGATTTTAGAGTAATTTAATATTAAATCCTCTGTTCTAGAGGAATGCACAAAGTCAGAATTTAACACAGTGGTGGTGATAGAAACCAGATGTCTGAAATGTTTAATGCTTCAAAAGGCTACCTTACAGAAAGTTATTATGTAAAATGATTATAAATTAGGGCCCTATTGCTGGAGACATGTTTTATGATAGTATTGACATAAACTTTGGCCACAAACCTATTTTTAAAACACATTCATTACCTTTATGAACATTACATATGAAGACCAGTGAACCTACATGTAGGTTATTGTGGAGAGTAAATAAAATGGCTTTGTAGATATTGTAACACCCAGTTTCTGTCAACTCCATTGTAAAAAAAAGTCAGTCAATAAGTTTGACTGTCAGTTACAGTGCTCTATTTTACATCAATGCAGTCAGAATGACTTCAGCTTCTATCAACAGCTGAGTTAGGCAAATATTTTGAAGAATCTATTGAATTTCTCCTTAAATACTGTAAGCAGAAGTAACACACAAAAAATCTTAATATTGGTCTAGTTTATACTTAAATAAGATTCATGAGAGAATGTATGTTGGAACAAATGCTTAAAGTTATCTGTTATAACTATTGGATGGCTTTGTTTTGATTAGGCACACCCGCATGAAAATTCTAGGCCAATGGCAATATTTCTCTGTCTGCATCTGCAGATAGCAATTCAGATACCGATGTTTTGGATGTATTGCTTTTTAAATGCATTACTGCCTCAAGCGTTAACTGAGCTATGATTTCTTTCCCTGCAGGTGTTCTTTAAAGCAGGTCTCCTGGGGGTGCTGGAGGAGATGAGAGATGAGCGCCTGGCTCAAGTTGTCACCAGCACTCAGGCAGTATGTCGTGGATACCTTGTAAGGATAGAGTACCAAAAGATGATTGCCCGAAGGTATCACTTTACAGTCACTTCTGTAAAACACATAAAGAGAATATAACATCTCTTTTTACCAGTAGCGATTTTCAGATTTTCAGAGGTGAATAGTACTCGTGGGAATTTAACTTATCGTATTCATTTTTGTGAAAGGGAGTCTATCTTTGCCATCCAGTACAACATTCGCGCCTTTATGAATGTGAAGCATTGGCCTTGGATGAAGCTGTATTTTAAGATCAAGCCTCTACTGAAGAGTGCTGAGTCGGAGAAAGAGATGGCCCAGATGAAAGTGGACTTTGCCAAATGTAAGGAGGACCTGGCTAAATCAGAGAGCAGGAGAAAAGAGCTGGAGGAGAAGATTGTTTCCATTGTACAAGAAAAGAATGACCTACTCCTTCAAGTTCAGGCGGTAAGTTTATTTAAGGGCAAACAAAAGCAACACTGAAAAAGAGGAAGGCGTTGAATTTATTTTATTGAAATGCATGCATAATTTCAACATGAATAAAATATTTTACATTACACTTTGTCTTTCAGTTGACCTACTTTTGGCAATAACATGTCGATGTAATATATTTTCATTCATGTGGAAATGACGAGTACATTTGAATCTAATGCATGCAAACGAATTACTTTTAATGCATTACTTTTTTCAATACACTTAAATGCGAATTCCACTGATTTTTCAAAATTTCTGAATAATTCAGTTGTTGCTAAACAAAGTCATTCAGATTGTTTTGATGTGAAATGTTTCACTGTAGAGAAACATAATGATACACAGGTGCTGATAGGAACCAGTCTATAACACTAAGTCTAGAACATAAATGTAGCCATTTTATTTACTATCCAAAACAACCAGTAAACCTCCATGTCTTCTGAGTCTTTAATGTTGATTGTTAATGGTACAATAATGGTAAATCTGAAAACATGGAGACTGTTTTGCCTTTAATTACCTGCATGTACCTCTCCACCATTGTGTTTTAAATACATTTTACACTAAAACATTCTCTCAAAACTATCATAAAACAATGTATTAAGCATAAGGCAGCGTATCTGTAATAATCTAATGTTTTAACTTGCCGTGATTAAATGTTTTGGGCGTCTGGTTCCTGTGACTTAGTAAGCTTCTCTAGAACAGAGCACTTCACAACAAACCACTCTGAATGATTTACATCCTTTGTTGTAAACATCTATTTACATCTTAACCATTTAATTATTCAGGAATTATATATATATATATATATATATATATATATATATATAAAATGTGTAGCTCATAGCGCTCAAATAGATATTTAGATATTTCTGCAAAAAGGAATGTCAACTGGCTGTCCTATATGATCTTAAAGGAAGCAGATAATCTGATGGATGCAGAGGAGAGATGTGAGGGACTGATCAAAAGTAAGATCCAGCTGGAAGCAAAGCTGAAGGAGACTGCTGAAAGGCTGGAGGATGAAGAGGAGATTAATGCTGAGCTCACAGCCAAGAAGAGGAAACTGGAGGATGAATGTTCTGAGCTGAAAAAAGACATGGACGACCTTGAGCTCACTTTGGCCAAAGTAGAGAAAGAGAAACATGCCATGGAGAACAAAGTGCGTTCCTTCTGTTTCAATCAACTAAAGATGTTAATACTTTCACTCATATTTTCCAGCTTCTTATTTTTTAATTGTGTAACATTTTTCCTTTCACATTTCAGGTGAAAAACCTTACTGAAGAAATAGTCTCTCAGGATGAGAACATTTCTAAGCTGAATAAAGAAAAGAAAGCTCTGCAAGAGGCACATCAGCAACTGTTGGATGACCTTCAAGGAGAAGAGGACAAAGTTAACGTTCTCACCAAAGCCAAGGCAAAGCTGGAGCAACAAGTTGATGAAGTGAGTAGATCTTTTAGATTTTTTTAAAATTAACATCATTAATTCGATGGTTTTAATTCACTCATTAACTCATCTGTTAATCCTAGCTGGAGGGATCTCTGGAGCAGGAGAAAAAGGTTAGGATGGATCTTGAGAGAGCCAAAAGGAGGCTTGAGGGTGACCTGAAACTGTCCCAGGAGTGCATAATGGACCTGGAGAATGAGAAGCAGAAGCTGGATGAAAAACTGAAGAAGTAATGGTCTAGCAAATATCCATCTTGGATATCACATTCTCAAAGTCATATTTCACTGTCTAAACCTTTCTTCTACCTTATGAATAGAAAAGATTTTGAAGTGACTCAACTGCAGAGTAAAATTGAAGATGAACAGTCTGTTGGTGCTCAGCTGCAGAAGAAAATTAAAGAACTTCAGGTAACACATGAATGAAGGTAGCCCATGAATTTATCTATCACAGCCCGCTAAATGTTTTGAAGTGCAGTCATCACATTTTTTCCATTCCTAAGGCTCGAATAGAAGAGCTTGAAGAGGAGATTGAGGCTGAACGCACTGCCAGAGCCAGGGTGGAGAAGCAGAGAGCTGATCTCTCCAGGGAACTTGAGGAGATCAGTGAGAGGCTGGAAGAAGCTGGTGGAGCCACAGCAGTTCAAGTCGAGATGAACAAGAAGCGTGAAGCCGAGTTCCAGAAGCTGCGCCGTGATCTCGAAGAGTCCACTCTGCAGAACGAGGCCACTTCAGCTGCACTGCGTAAGAAACATGCAGACAGTGTGGCAGAACTCGGAGAGCAAACTGACAACCTCCAGCGAATCAAGCAAAAGCTTGAAAAGGAGAAGAGTGAGCTGAAACTTGAAGTGGATGATCTGTCCAGCAATATGGAGACCATTGCTAAATCAAAGGTATTGTATCATGAGACAGTGTCTGTGTTATTTTACAGTACAAGCATTTAGGAACATCATAAAAGACTGAAATGTTTCTAAAGGTCAATCTTGAAAAGATGTGCCGCTCTCTGGAGGACCAGCTAAGTGAAGTCAAAACCAAAGAGGAGGAGCACCAGAGACTCATTACTGATCTCACCACCCAGAAGGCTCGACTTCAGACAGAAAATGGTAACACCAAACAATTTTTCTTGAATAAATTAGAATAAACAAGAAGAGAAATTCCCAATTATCCCTCGGGACCCTTTGAACATCTCAAATTCAAAATTCTGGGGGTCCCTGAAAAAAAATTTGGCATTCAAAGAGATGTCATTATTACTGTGTTTAATTTAAACCTGCTCTACCCATGAAATGGCAAGCTTCTGACACACTGGTCTGCCTTAGGACAGCACTGTACTAAATTGGTTCACCTAGTAGTTCTTAAGCAACTGCAAGGCACAGGTACCTCTGACAAGTTTTCAGAGCTTTAACATGCTGTAGTACTGCACGAGACACTATCAGATACCCGAGTGAAATTTTACCCATTTTCTAAACCAAAGACAACAGGAGAGGTATGAGATTAAACAGTGTGGAAAACCACATGATCATTTAAACCTGTCTCAATCCAAGATATGTAGCTAAGATAGCAAGCTAACTTTTTTGCTGATTTTGAAACCAAGCTGTCAGGCTCAAAGGTTTGTCAGATGTAACTGAAAAGGCCTGGGCTGTTTTACTCTGCGAAGCCATTTTGCTGCCATTGCATCTAGAATCAGCACCACCATGGCGAGTGAGTTGGTGGTTTAAATAAATATTTTTTGCATGTTATATATTGTAGAATAGCCTAACCAGTGACTGTTGCCAGCTCCTGTCAGTATTCAAATCAATTTGAAATTACACTGTTGCGAACACCTATCATTGCTCATATCAAGGTGAAATGTCACGCCAGCTTGAGGAGAAGGACTCTCTGTTGTCTCAGTTATCCAAAGGCAAACAGGCCTACATCCAACAAATTGAGGAGCTAAAAAGGCAGAACGAGGAAGAAATGAAGGTACAACATAAAAAAAAATCAAACTTGAAATCTGAGAAAGTGTTGTGTGCCTGTATGTTAATCCAGTCATCAATTACAGGCTAAGAATGCCCTGGCCCATGCTCTGCAGTCAGCTCGTCATGACTGTGACTTGCTGAGGGAGCAGTTTGAGGAAGAGCAAGAGACCAAGGCTGAACTGCAGCGTGGAATGTCCAAGGCCAACAGCGAGGTAGCTCAATGGAGAACCAAATACGAGACTGATGCCATCCAGCGCACTGAGGAACTTGAGGAGGCCAAGTAAGGCTCAGCATAACCTTGTACCCGAGGGCCATGCATATACTACAGCTGTTAACATAAAATGTGTATGCCAATCTTCTCAGAAAGAAGTTGGCCCAGCGACTTCAGGATGCAGAAGAAGCTGTTGAGGCAATTAACTCAAAGTGCTCCTCACTGGAGAAAACAAAGCATAGACTGCAGGGTGAGGTGGAAGACCTGATGACAGATGTGGAAAGGGCTAACTCAGCTGCTTCTGCACTGGATAAAAAACAGAGGAACTTTGATAAGGTACCAAAAACCTGCTGGTCCAGGTTTCAATCATTAAACACATAGTTTGGCAAAAAATCAAATGTTCACAATTTTCTACACATTTAAGATGTAGGCAAACAGCCAAAACATGTTTAGTGTCCAAATTTTGCTTCTTTAGTTTAGCTAACAAACACTAATTAATAAAATCATATCATAAAAATCATAAAATAATAAAAAATTGACTAAGTCAATAAAATCTACATGGTTTAGGACACAGTATAACTTATATAAAAATAAAAAATATAAAAAACTGTAAAAAAAACTATAAAATGACCAAAATCTCACCATTTAGCTGAGCACTAAGGGCACCTATTATATTCAACAGGTGTTGGCATGCATGCAGACACCTAGTTGCTACAGATTTTGTTTGAGCATGGTTTCTGTTTATAATTAACTTTTAATCTTTAATTTTCAAAGGTATATGTTCATATATAGAAACGTAATCTAGTGTTCACAAACATCAAGCAGAGTCAAATTCTGCAGGAAGTATGCATTTGGCACAACAGCTGCCAAGTCTTTGCAACCTTAATGGTAAGCTGGATGCAGTTTGAGTGTATTGGGAGAAATTTTGGGATACATTTACAGAAATGATTTGGGTGACTATTGACTTGCCTAACAGTTCCAGTATTAAACTAAAAAAGCAAATTGAAAAAAAAAAGAACAAACATGTCTTGGCCAATCAGCTACATCTGCAATAGATAGACAACTGTATAAATCAGATTATTCACTGAACTATTCCTCTAATGTGGGCATGAATACCTGCATATCTACGCTAAAACATCTTTTTCATTTCCATTTCTTCTTCTTTTGTAGATCCTGGCAGAATGGAAACAAAAATATGAAGAGAGCCAGGCAGAGCTTGAGGCAGCAATGAAAGAAGTTCGTTCACTGGGAACAGAAAATTTCAAAATGAAGAATGCTTATGAAGAATCTTTGGAGCAGTTGGAGACACTGAAACGTGAAAATAAAAACCTGCAACGTATGCTCTATTTCTTTATCCAGACTCTTGATAAAACTGTTAGTAACGTTTATAAGTGTACGTGTTTGAAATATAGTGTAAAAGAAGAAGTAATGATGAATTTGTCTCTCACTTATTTAGAGGAAATCATGGACCTCTCTGAGCATCTCGGGGAGACTGGAAAAACCATCCATGAACTTGAAAAGTCAAAGAAGCAAGCAGAGCAAGAAAAATCAGAAATCCAGACCGCTTTAGAGGAGGCTGAGGTTTTTTCCACTGTTATATAGCTTCCACACAATTTGAATATAACCAAAGTCAACTGTAAGGGGCAATGTTTTCTTTTATTGCCAGGCCTCCCTGGAGCATGAGGAATCTAAGATCCTTCGTGTTCACCTGGAGCTGAATCAGGTGAAGAGTGAGATTGAGAGAAAGCTGGCCGAGAAGGATGAGGAGATCGAGCAGCTGAAGAGGAACAGCCAGAGAATCATAGACTCCATGCAGAGCACTTTGGACTCCGAAGTCAGGAGCAGGAATGATGCCCTGAGGGCCAAGAAGAAAATGGAGGGAGATCTTAATGAGATGGAGATTCAGCTGAGCCATGCCAACCGCCAGGCTGCTGAGGCCCAGAAACAGCTAAGAAACATTCAAGCTCAATTAAAGGTTGGAAGATTTCAAATTTCTACTCATACAAACAATATTTTCCTGCAACAGCTAACTTCAACTATTTACTTTAAAGGATGCCCAATTGCATCTGGATGATGCATTGAGACAGAACGATGACATGAAGGAGCAGGTGACTATGGCTGAGCGCAGGAGTGCCCTGATGCAGGCAGAAATAGAGGAGATCAGGGCGGCTCTAGAACAAACAGAGAGAAGCCGCAAAGTGGCCGAACAAGAGCTGGTCGATGCTACTGAGCGTGTCCAGCTTTTGCATTCACAGGTACTTTTGTTTGGAAAGCAACTTGAATTGCACTTGTTAACTTAGGCCCAATCCCATTTCTTATTTGTACTCTAGCCCTTGTTTTTGAGTGTCACTTTGCCCATTGGAACTGAGTTATAAAGCGTAGTGGTTGAAATCTTCCTTACGAAATGGGACCTTCAAATAAAAAAGGACATTACTTCATTAACAGGCAGTGCTCTGTAGGCGACCCTGCCAGCCTGCAGTGATAGCAGAGGATGGTAAAGTTCAGCAACCTCGCTGCTGGTCTTTAGTTACATTTAAGGCATCATATGCCTTCAAAGGGGGGGGCCATTTTTTTTTATCACCCACCACAAGTCTTCAGTGATATGAAGCTGAAGTCATTCACCAGCTTCTTGTTTAAATGTTCCCGTTTCACCTGAAATGGAGCAGCTGTTGTGACACAACTGCTGCTCCATTTAAGGTGGAATGGGTAATTTAGCTAGCTAGCTACCGGGACATCAGCATACTACTAGCGATTTTTATGCTTGTTATGAAGAAAAGGACCATATTACATTGAAACGACATTAAACTAAGATAATACAATGGTTATCGTAAATTTTTAATGGAGAAAATTCTCACATTTGTGGGTTTCTTTGGTCGTGTGTGCAGCCATCTTGCTGTTTTTTTTTTTTTCTCATAACACTCTGTTTGAACTGTGTCTGAAAAATCTCTGTTTGGAGGGCCATGTAGCCCTAACACTTCACCCTACCCTTCTATCTCAACAAAAATCGAGACACCCTACCCCTAGACACGAACGAGCAAAACGGAGGGGTAGGGCTAAGTGGTAGGGGAAATGAGATTGGGCCTTACTCTTGTAATAATGTAGTGTCCTCTTTTTCACTTTAACTGTTCTACCTTTGCTCTTTCAGAACACCAGTTTGATAAACAGCAGGAAAAAACTGGAGAGTGACTTGACTCAGATGCAGAGCGAGATGGAGGACAGTCTTCAGGAGGCCAGGAATGCTGAAGAGAAAGCCAAAAAGGCCATCACTGATGTAAAACATTCATTCTAACTGAACCTCAAATGAGGTAGCTTTAATCAAGCAGAAACTAAGGTTTGGGTCTTTTTTCAATATTTCTTTAATTTTATGGGAAGGCTGCCATGATGGCAGAGGAACTAAAGAAGGAGCAGGACACCAGCGCCCATCTGGAAAGAATGAAGAAGAACCTGGAGGCCACAGTCAAAGACTTGCAGCAACGTCTAGATGAAGCTGAAAACTTGGCCATGAAGGGTGGAAAGAAGCAACTCCAGAAACTGGAAGCAAGGGTACTACATATATAGTGGCATTTCTGAACTTTCGGGTATGCAACCCCCTTTTGGGCTGCCACTTCTTGGTGGTGGAGTCATCTGAAGCTACCTGACAGGCTGCCTACAGTAGTAGCTAGCTAGCTATATGTCAGAGGGCAGGACGCACAGACGAGCACAGGCACAGCACAAAATGTGCCTTGATGCAGCCACTGTGTGCGCCCACAATGCACTAGAATTTAACATTTGATTTACTAAGTGCAGCTTGTCAAACTCGAACTCCTCGATCGTGACTGCTGCCATTGTTATAGGAAGTCTCTGAGCAACATGTCTTTTGAGACACTAGGCATGATATGCATGAGGAACAGAAGCACATTTTACAGTGTACACAGCCCATAAACGGTGCACTTATGTTTGTGCAGCAGTTACATATGTAACAGGCAGGCAAAATGCATCTGATATGAGCCTGAAACTGTTATTTAGCCCTTTTTTCTATTAACATAACATGGTATCCTCGTGTTAATAATTGAAGTCTGAATTCTTATGTTTGAATGGTTTTTGTTTGTTTACCAGTTCAGCCTGTACTGGTGCAATGAAGTTACTAATTAGTACTTACAAGCTCAGCAGTCTTACTACCGACAGTCATAAATACACATGACTTTCAACATCCTGACAGACATACAGGCCAAAGGATTCATCCATTAAATCTCTGCAACTAAACTTTGAACAGTTTTCCTAGCTTTATGTTTTTTAGAAAGCAATTACTTGGTTTGCTTGCTTTGCTGCAGTTTCACCTCTGTGGCATAAACGTTTTAAGAAAAAGATGTATTATGTAAAGCCTGACTTGTTTATTATTTCCAGGTAAGAGAACTGGAGAATGAACTGGAACAAGAGCAAAAGCACAGTTCTGAAGCTGTGAAAGGTGTGCGCAAGTTTGAGCGCAGGATCAAGGAGCTCTCCTATCAGGTACCTCCACACCTTATAAGGAAACCTTACCTCAAGCACAGTGTTCATTTGGGCTGTGCGAAATTATTAAAATACCTAAAATTACAGTATAAGTTTATAACAATATGATGTATAAAACCAGTTGGTACATACATGGTTAACATATCATCTAATAATGTCATATGAATAATTTCTAAGGTGAGACTGCTAAAAAGCATTAAAACTACATCACAGTATTAATCTACAGGGCAATTAAAAAAAAAAAAGTAGTTTTCCTTCTATTTATAGTTCCTTTTTTATCCCTGCACAGTCTGAGGAAGACAAAAAGAACATAATCAGGCTGCAGGATTTGGTGGATAAGCTACAGCTGAAGGTCAAAGCCTACAAGAGACAAGCTGAGGAAGCTGTGAGTTAGACACTTTCTCAAACAAGCAACTCTCAGGCACATGTTGTTATCTTTAATATTGCTGAACTAGAAATAAATGTTGTCTTGATTTCTTTGTCAGGAGGAACAGGCTAACACTCATTTGACCAAGTTTAGAAAAGTACAGCATGAGCTGGAGGAGGCTCAGGAGAGAGCTGACATTGCTGAGTCTCAGGTCAACAAGATGAGAGCAAAGAGCCGGGACATGGGAGCAAAGGTAAGAGCATAATGCTAGATTTCTGTTAAGACTAGAACACAGATACATATATGAACAGAGGTACATAATTTAAAAGCTATCCCTGTATTTACTAGCTTATTGACAGTTGCAGATTACGATCATAATTGTATCTTGTAAAGGCTTCGAATTGAGGAAGGGCTGGGATGTCCCAGAGAAAGAACTGGAGTCCTGTGTTTGAAATTTCTGCCCTCGTGACAAACTGGAAAAAAAGTTTGTATTGTGTTCAGCCCTAGATTCCTACCCTTGAATAAACCTAAAATTTGCTACCAAAGCTAGCTACCAAACTAGGTTATTTTAGTTAACAGGCTAGCTAGCTAGTTAGCTCACCAGTCAACATTAGTTTGTAACTAGGATTTCTGTCAGCCGGTATTTGGTTAGAAAAAAACTCTTTATGACTGGCAATTTAAAATCCGGGCAGGACACACCCAAAACACATAAAATCCTATGACAATAATGAAGAGACTCCTTTAACGGTCACTGCTGCCCAAAGGCTGAATCAATGAAACAAGCTGTCACATAGTGTAAAAATAATTTGTATAATAATAACTTATATATTTATATTATATTAATTTTATATAAAGATATGATTTTAAATAACTCCTTCCTAGTAATACCTAGTAAAACTCCAGCATTAGACCTCATGAAAAAATATTTATCAATATGTAGGTCAGAACTTCCACCGGGAGACTCCAGACCTCTACCACAATTCGAATCCAGAGTCACAAGTTCTAACTGACACCAAACTGAGGTTCCACAAACGTGGAATGCCTTTTTAATCTTTTATTTTACATCTAGGGAAAGGAGAGTGGGGAATAAGATGCAGGAAAATTTCAAGAAGAAAGCTGACCTGCTTTTCTGCAACATAAGGAACTTTCTTTTAAACAAATATAGCATGGTAGTAGCACAGTGGCACAATTTTTGTTGTTCAGTAAGTGAAATGCATGTTCACTGGAGTGAATGTAGTCAGGAGCCTGATCTGTCCACTCAAGAACACACCTTTCACTCTCATTAACTTATAATGAATAAAAAAGTTTGGAATTACTTTAAAATAACGTTGAACAATAATTTTGATAAGTTTGAACATACCTGGTGAAATGACTTCTTTTATTGATTCTCTAAGTGAAAATAACATATAATAACAGTATACTGTTTATCATTTAATAACATCTTGATGTTCTCCCCAAAAAACTTGAAATATTGGATAAAACATCTTAAAGGTGTAGTTTGTAATATTTAGTGGCATCTAACAGTGAGGTTGCAGATTGTAACAGTACCCTTCCCTCACCCCTCCCTTTCCAAGCGTGTAGTTGAACATACGGTGGCTGTTGGGTTTTCTGCCATCACCTGTCCAGATTTTGTTTTGTTTCTTCATGTTTTTGCTTCTTTAATGATGAGGATTCACCCTCCCTTTTTCTTGTGATATATAATAAGTATGATCCTTCATTTGTCAAAATTCGGGTTCTCAAACCTCTCGCGTAAAAATGTGAAAGAGCCAGTGTTTGGTTTGTCCGTTCTGGGCTACTGTAGAAATATGACAGTGCAACATATTGGAAGAGGACGTGCTCCTACATAGATTTGAAGCGCTTATTCTAAGCTAATAAAAACACAGCAATTCGTGGTTACGGGTGATTACACACTAATGAAAACATGGTTTTGTATACTATATTCCATTTCTGCTAATAGAGCCCCCTAAATCTTACACACTGCTCCTTTAAAATATCTTCTGTGTCTAGTTTATAGTATTTCAGTCTGCATTTGTCAAGTTATTAATGCATATATAATAATAAGAAAAGTTATTCCAAATTTATGGACAGTAGTGTGTGTAACTGATATTTGTTATGCACGCATATTACCCATAATATATAATTCTATGTATGCCTACATTAATTTCTGTTATTCTTACACTGAGCAAAAAAAAACAGTAAGACTATGGAGAGATTAATTAAATGTTCAACAAATGTCTTCACTGTTACATGCTTGCAATGCTTTTCTTGAATCTGCATACAATCTGTGTCCACTGAATAAATGTTTTAAGGAAAATAAACAAATATAATGCCAGTAATTTGGTGCGTATCTGATATGTAGAATGTTTTGAGCTGTGTTGCCTGCTTATTTGATCTGCATATCATCGAGAGGGGTGAAATAATTCAGCTCTTATTTAATTAGCATTTGATACATGGTGTAATCATAAAACAGATATGAGGATAGAGAGAGTACTACTAAAGACATAATTAGATTTCTTCTGTTTGATTGTCTTCATATATCTGTATAAATATTACATTACATATAAAGAAAAGGCAATCAGTGAACACAAACATACTTGTGAACATGTTGTCATATTTATTGTCATTTAGATCTTTGTCCACAATGGTTAATTTCCTTGCCTGTGCCCATGATATTTTTACAACAGGATAAACCATGAAAAATGAGAACAGATGAGCACCGAGGTGAAAAATTATGATAATTGCAATACTCGAAGTAATAATGATAATAATGAGCTGTTTGGTAGTTTCATTCATGTGAGAAATATGATTTAATTAAATGTAGATTTGTCTAATTTGTCTAAATTCCTTTGAGTGCAATAATAAATTTAACTTTGACATAACTGTCAAGCTTTTCTTTCCGAATACAGTTTATAGCATATCTCTCTGTGCACTAATAATGAACACTAATATTATAATAAATGAATGTTTAAAAATGAACACACTGACTAAGAGTGGAACATAATCATAATATGAATTATTACTCTGTAAAACTGCCATAGTATGAAATGCCTTTACGTAATGAAACAGTTATTAAATAAATCTAGTGCAGATTACCATGTCATTAAATATTGAGAGGTTTGTGGAATATTACAAAATTAGGATCTTTCACAGTCATTTCACAAGTATCCTTGTACACAAACATACCTGTATCAATGCAGAACAGTGCAAAAGAGGCCACCTTTCATTTGTTTAATTTCCAGTCAAAACAGTGATTAAGTATAAGTCATGCATTTTAGTGTTAAGAAAAGAACAGAAAATGCACATATTTTCCTTTGACTTCTTCCCTCTTTCTGCAAGTAGATTATTTTATATCTCCCAGAAATGTCTCAGAAATAACTTAACCTTAATGGCCTTTTGATTGTAAATTAAATCCTGAAGCGTGGTCTCTTTTGCACAGTACTGCAGAGACAACACAAATGGCATTTTGTATGTAGTGCCTGTTGTTTTCTTCAAGCAACAATTTCTGAATAGGGCTTCAAACTGTTGGGGTTTCAACACACTGACTACACATGGGGAAATTAGTCAACTGGATAATAAACCATAATTACACACACTCTGCATTCACTGTTGTGTCTTTTGGATCTCAGAGAGGAGAACACGTCATGATCCTTTCCTATTCCGCTTGACCGTCTTGGCCCTGTTTAAATTGACAGTAACCAAAACAATTACCTCAGTCTTTGATAATCACCATCTTGAAATATCCTGCTTGCTGCACTGATACTGTTTTACATAAGAGGACTGAAGCTAAACATTTGCATCTTTATTCTCTGTGCTTTGTCTGACAGTTATAGGATATACATATTATACTTTTATTTTACCTTAATATTCAGGCAAAAAAATAACTATTTTATATTCATGTATGCCCGTATACCATATAAAACATGAAATATTCCTTATTTAGGGTAATAAAAATGATGTTAGTGATTTACAGATTTCAGCACTTTTCTAAATTGGGCATACTCACTTTGTGGAAAAAGGGAAAGTCAATTCCCAGGCTCATTATCTCCTAAGGCTTATTATTCAATTATTACCTAGAAAGCAATGCAAACTAGAAGAATTATTCTTAAGTTATAGGAGTGAGGAAGAGAAGCCTTTCCCACAGATGCTCAATTGGATTGAGATCTGTGGAATCTGGAGGACAGAGAACGCCATGAACTCTTCATCATGTTCCTTAAACCATTCCAGGAAAATGTGTGCAGTGTGGCAGGGTGCATTATCCTGCTGAAAAAGGTTTCCCAGCAGAACATTGCAAAGAGCATCACGCTCCCTCCACCAGCTTGTCTTCTTTCCACAGTGCATCCCAGTACAATCAGTTCCCCAGGTAAATGGCACACACATATCTGGCCGTCCTCATGATGTAAATGAAAATGGGACTCGTCAGACCAGGCAACCTTCTTCCATTTCTGTAAGGTCCAGTTCGTTCCACTTTTGATGGTGGACAGGGTTTACCATGGGCATCCAATGCTTACATGACCATTGTAAGCTAATTCGATGGAAGCCAGGGGTTAGGGTGGGCACTCTGACTGCATACACAGCAGGGTGCGATGCACCGTATGTTGTAACACATTCCTTCCATGTGCCACTTGTGCCACCATAGCCTTTCAGACTTCGAAGTCATTTCTCCCGCATCCAACAGTAGACTAGAACCGACTGTTTGTTTAACATCTAATATATCCCAGACCTTGACATGTGCGGTTATTATGAGATAATCAGCATCATTTGCTTCATCTGTGAGTGGCTGTATGTTTTAGCTCACAGGTGTAAACTGATGCAGAAATTATTAAATGGGTAGAGATAGGTGGGTCGTGTGTAAAACAAATGTTTACTGTCAATATTTGGTTTCTCTTGTGTAGTAAAATGTATTTAAATTCCAGCCATGGTCTATGCATCTTGTCTCAGCCCCCTTAAATCACAACACTGATTAGAATAGTCAGAAATGATTGCCTTCTGAAAAAGGTGTGACACTAACCTTTGCACTCATGTCCCGACTTCTGGCTCTCAGCTTGTTAACCTGGGATTCAGCAATGTCTGCCCTTTCTTCAGCCTGTTCCAGCTCATGCTGCACCTTCCTACAGCGGGTCAGGTATACGTTGGCTTGTTCTTCCTGTAAATAATATAGATATGCAGTTGGTTAACCAGGTGATGACTGTATATTGATAGTAAAAACTGAATTTCACTTACAGCTTCTTCTGCCTGTCTCTTGTAGGCTTTCATTTTAATCTGCAGCTTGTCTACCAGATCCTGAAGCCTGTTCACATTTTTCTTTTCTTCTTCAGCCTATAAATTTAACATACAGTAAGATTTTCATTTTTGATCACTAAAATGCTGTAATCAAAATATCTACAGTTGAATCATTTTGGCCAGAATGTACTGTAAGAGGTTTTCTTTGATACAAACCTGGTAGCTGAGCTCTTTTACCCTCCTCTCATATTTCCGAACTGCTTTGACAGCATCAGCTCCATGCCTTTGTTCAGCCTCCAGTTCATTCTCCAGTTCTCGAACCTAGACGATAGGTAACAGTATTTTCAAAAAATGGTTTTGAGATGTTTTCATGATTTACAAACGCACATTTCCAAAAACTTCACTTACTTTTGTTTCCAGTTTCTGGAGTTGCTTCTTTCCACCCTTCATGGCTAAGCTTTCAGCTTCATCCAGACGTTGCTGTAGATCCTTAATTGTGGCTTCCAGGTTCTTCTTCATTCTCTCCAGATGAGCACAGGTATCCTGCTCCTTCTTTAGCTCCTCTGCCATCATGGCAGCCTTAGAACAAAAGACAGTACTGAATAATGTAACATGAATCTACCATGAACTGAATAATTTGAGAGCAACAAAACAACAACTCACATCAGTGATGGCCTTCTTAGCCTTTTCCTCAGCATTTCTTGACTCTTGAAGAAAATCCTCAATTTCACTTTGAAGTTGGGAAACATCAGCTTCAAGCTTTTTCTTGGTATTTAGAAGGCTGGTGTTCTGTGAAAGACATGAAGTGTAAACGAGGAAGTACTGTCACAAACCCTCACATGAAGATGTGACTTGCACAATATTTTATAATAACTTCCCTGTCCTTATATACTTACAACCTTCTCCTCATCTGACAGGTAAAGGGCTCAATAGTCTTTAATAAGCTACAATCTTTTAGTTTTGTCTAATATTTCATTTGGACTGTTCGTATTTTTTCTGCAAAGAACACTTGTCAGGCATCTGCATAATAATTGAACTGAATAAAGCATTTTTAGCATACACTGCTAATGTTTGTAAGCCAAAAGAATTAACAGTTTTTATCTGATATTGAGTCACAGTGCACCATAAAACTGTAGCTTGCTCAATGGCATATAGAGCACTGAAGTTGTGTTGTCATTCTGTAGTCGGTATGGTACAATACAGTTTGCTATTGTTTCTGAATGTCACTGGATTCTGTGAATTGCAAGGTGATTAAAGAGTCAAAATACAAAAATTGCAACTTGCCAACGCTTCTGTGCATTGAACTTGACAGCTTAACACAACAACTTCACCAAAATAGCTGGAAGCTTTGTCAAATGTGGTAGTTAATTAGCTTTGGCAGTAGTAGCCTACAGAAGCTGACGCTGGTATATAATAGTGTTAAACTTAACAGTTGCTGCTTAACAGCTTGCATGTTGCATTATTTGTATTTCGACTGATAAACGACCTCATACTTCAGAGTGTATTAGGTTTAGGACATTTGTTTACCACAGGGAGCAATAGCGACCATTGTCAAAAATGACATAATAAAGAAAACCAGGTTAGACCCGGAGATCCAAATATAGGAATGACACTGACTACAGAATGACGTACAGAATGACACACGTGGTGTTTTACCTAACTAGGATAACTGTTTTCTAGCTATCCTTAGGTTTTAGCCTCAAAGCTCTCAAGAACACCATACATAAAGGCATTACATTGTCATGCTGAAAGGCTTGGGTTCTGGAATTTAATTTAATGTAAAGATTGAAATTGTTTATTTGAAATAGTACCTGAACATTTCTTAATAAAATGATTTTTAATGAAAATCAGTGTAACAAATGTAACACAATGACAATATGACACACCTGAGAATGCAGGAGTCCTACTCGTTCACTGGCATCCACCAGTTCCTGCTCAGCTACTTTGTGGCTTCTCTCAGTCTGTTCGAGAGCTGCCCTTAGTTCTTCAATCTCAGCCTGCATTAGGGTAGTTCTGCGCTCTGCCAGGGCAACCTGTTCCTTCATGTCCTCCTGCCCTCTTACAGCATCGTCCAGATGCAGTTGGGTATCCTGTATACATATGGACTAGTTAAAACCAAAGAAAGTACCATGACGTCTCCACATCCTCCTGGTTATTCATACTGTAAATTGCTATGAAATAAAAACGGTCACCTTAAGCTGCCCTTGAACGTTCCTCAGTTGTTTCTGGGCCTCAGCTGCCTGGCGATTGGCATGGCTCAGCTGGATCTCCATCTCATTAAGATCTCCCTCCATCTTCTTCTTGAACCTTAGGGCATCATTCCTGCTCCTGACCTCGGAGTCCAAAGTGCTCTGCATGGAGTCTATGATCCTCTGACTGTTCCTCTTCAGCTGCTCGATCTCCTCATCCTTCTCAGCCAGCTTTCTGTCAACCTCACTTTTCACCTGATTCAGCTCCAGGTGAACACGAAGGATCTTGGATTCTTCATGTTCCAGGGAGGCCTGAGAGCAGATCGTGACACCATTCAAAGAATCTTATCTACACCATGGGTATATAATTTTACAGCAGTGGATATCTCCTTACCTCAGCTTCCTCCAGTGCTCCTTGCATCTCAGATTTCTGAGTCTCCATTTGCTTCCTGGCTTTCTCCAGCTCATGGATGCTCTTACCACTCTCTCCTAACTGATCAGTGAGGTCTGAGATCTCCTCTGCATTCAAAATATAAAATTAATTAAAATCAGATTTTTGTTGTTGTCATGCAGCATAGCATTTTGTTACTTACGCTGCAAGTTGTTATTCTCTCGCTTGAGGGTTTCAAGATGATCCAAGGTTTCCTCATAGGAGTTTTTCATTTTGAAAAGCTCATTGCTTAATGCTCGCAACTCTTTCTGAGCTGCCTCCAACTCTGCCTGAGACTCTTCATACTTTTGCTTCCACTCAACCAGTATCTAAGGCCAAACACATTTCTCTTTTATCACTGCCATATTACCATTACATATTATGATTGTTTTTATAGTAACATTAATTCATTTTTCACCTTGTCAAAGTTTCTCTGCTTCTTGTCCAAGTTTGCTGCCAGTGTGTTTGACTTTGTAACGTCCACCATGAGGTCTTCTATCTCACTCTGCAGTCTCTGCTTGGTTTTCTCTAAGGAAGCACACTTTGCATTTGCGGTTTCAATTTGCTCCTCCGCCTCTTGGAGACGCTGAGCGAGCTTTTTCCTGCGCGCAGTACAGTGCATTTAATTAAGAATGTCATTTACATACAGTGAAACTACAGACAGGTGACAAAATAAAGGAAAAACCTGAACAAATGAGTGGAGAAATAATCAGTGTAGATGCTTCCAGACAGGTCTACTGCATGATACAGTTTAGCAATTAACATCGTACTATGCTTTGTGGAATGTATTAATTGACCTCAATTTTGGATCAAGATGGCAAAGAGGAAAAGATCTAAGTGACTCTGAAAGAGGGTTCATTATTGGGACATGAAGCCTAGGAGGCCAAGACGCTTCAGTCACAAAGACTGATCAACTGGCTAATGTTTCAATAGGTACAGTGACACTGCTTGTACAAATTGTACTGCTTGCAAAAATTATTTCTACAGATATGTAGAAATAAGTGATATGGTCATTATATGACCATATTCTCCGCAAGGGGACGAGGGCATATGTGGAGTACACCAAGAGACCAGCGCAGGCCTGAATGTTCAAATCCTACACTAAGGGGGTCTGGTGATGTTATGCTGTCGGGGCATGGTTGGGTCCACTAGAGAACTAAAGTTATCCTGACTGAGCAGCTTTGTCCAAAGACGAAACAATTCTATCTTGATGGGAATAGTCTCTTCCAGGATGACAATACCCCCATCTACAGGGCATGAGGGGTCACTGTATGGTTTGATGAAGACGAAAACAATGCAAATCCTATGTAGTGGCCCTTGAAGTGACCAGATCTAAACTAATTTGAACATATATGGGATATTCTAGTTAGACATGTAAGATGTTGCTCTCCACCACTCTGCATGAGAGAATATCTTTTGGAAGAGTGGTGCTTCATCCCTCCAGTACTGTTCCAGAGACTTGTAGAATCTATACCAAGTTGCAGTTAAGTGGTTATGATGGATTGTGGTGGCCCAACACCTTGTTTTTTTTCTGTTAATTTGTCACCTGTCTGTGGATCTAGATTTCCAGAATCAGTTAAAATACTCACTTGGCCTCCTCAAGTTCCTCAGTGCGCTGGATGGCATCAGTCTCATATTTGGTTCTCCATTGAGCTAACTCACTGTTTGCCTTGGACATTCCACGCTGCAGCTCTGCTTTGGCCTCCAGTTCCTCTTCAAACTGCTCCCTCAGGAGGTCACAGTCATGACGTGCTGACTGCAAAGCATGGGCCAGGGCATTCTTCGCCTACAGTGACAAAAAATGTTTGTTACCTTGCTTCACATGTACAGACAAAGAATGTGACACAATTACAATGTTATTGACCTTTGTCTCTTCTTCAAGTTGTCTCTTCAACTCATCAAGCTGCTGAGTGAAACCTTGTTTTCCCCTTGTAAGCTGTGAAATAAGGCTTTCCTTTTCTTCAGCTTGACGAGAAAACTCTCCTGCGGAAATAAAAATGTTCTTTATTTACAACTCCATTTCCAAAAACGGAACGCTGTGCAGAATGGAAATAAAAACAGAATGCAATGATATGCAAATGATGTAAACCATATATTTAAATGAAAATACTACAAAGATAACATATCAAATGTTGAAAATGAGAAATTTTATTGTTTTTTAAAAAAATATATGCCCATTTTGAATTTGATGCTGACAACACATTCCACGGGGGCCATTTACCACTGTGTTTCATCATCTGTTCTTTTAACAACTCTGTAAGCATTTGAGAACTAAGGAGACCAAGTGCTATAGTTTTTAAAGTGAAATGTTTTCCCATTCCTGTTTGATATAGGATTTCAGCTGCTCAAAAGTTCAGCGTCTCCTTTGTCGTATTTTTAATTTCTGGCTTTTGAACTGTGCACTAATAACAAGCTGAGTGGTCTTTAACCCGGAGGACACAGTGTCCATGATTTCCAAAAAGAATTTAAAATTTTGATTCGTCGGACCACAGGACACTTTTCACTTCCCCTCAGTCTATTTAAATGAGCTCAGGCACAGAGAAGGTGGCAGCATTTTTGGATCCTGTTTATATATGATTTTTTCCTTCCATAGTAGAGTTTTAACTTGCATTTGTAGACGCAGCGACAAACTGTTTTCACAGAGGTGTTTCTGAGCCCATGCAGTGATTTCCACTACAGAATCATGTCTGTTTTTAATGCAGTGCCGCCTGAGGGCCCAAAGATCATGGCCAGCATATACTGGTTTTCAGCCTTGCCCCTTGTGTGCAGAGATTTCTCTAGATTCTCAGAATCTTTTAATGACATTATTTTTTATACGCAATCATGTCACTGACCTGTTACCAATTAACCACCAGGTGTTTTTTTAGCATTACATAACTTTACCAGCCTTTTGTTGCCCCTGTCCCAACTTTTGGTATGTGTTGTTGGCATCAAATTCAAAATGGGCATACATTTTTCAAAATACAATAAAATTTCTCAGTTTCAACATTTGATATGTTGTCTTTGTTCTGTTTTCAATGAAATATAGAGTATAAATGATTTGATCATTGCATTTTGTTTTTATTTACGTTTTTGCACAGCAACCCAATTTATTTGGAAATGGGGTTGTATTTAAATAAATGTTAATCTATCAGAGTAAACAGAGCATAGATGTTATAATATTATATTGTCTGGTTTACCGTTTTCACTCTGAAGCCGAGCTTTCTGTGCACAGAGATCATGGATCTGCCTTGTATGCTCTTCATTCTTGGTTTTCACCTCAGTAAGCTGGTCTTCAAGACTGCGACACATCTTTTCCAGGTTAACCTGTCATTGTCACAAAAATGTCAGCTTCTAATTAGTAATTAGGACTTCAAGTAGTTTCATTTTCATTGCTAATATGAGTACAAAGGTAAATCTATTTTGAAACCTTGGCTTTTGCCAAGGCTTCCATGTTGCTCGCCAAATCGTCAATCTCCATTTTGTATTCATTCTTCTCTTTCTCAAGCTTTTGCTTTACTCGTTGGAGATTATCGATCTGTTCACCAAGCTCAGCCACACTGTCAGCCTGTTTCTTGCGCAGAGCTGCAGTCGTTGCTTCATGCTGCAGGGTGGACTCTTCAAGATCACGACGGAGCTTCTGGAACTCTATTTCTCGTTTCTTGTTCATCTCAATCTGAGCTGCTGTGGCTCCACCAGCTTCTTCCAGCCTCTCACTGATCTCCTCGAGTTCCCTGGAGAGATCAGCTCTCTGCTTCTCCACCTTAGCTCTGACAGCACGCTCAGCCTCAATCTCTTCTTCTAACTCCTCAGTACGCGCCTTGCACAATGAAGAACAAATGACTGAGTTTAAGCAAAGCATGTTTTGATCAAATGAAAACGAAATACTGAATAAACTGTGTAACTGATATTACATGGAGTTCTTTTATCTTCTTTTGAAGTTGGGAGCCCATAGCTTGCTCATCTTCAATTTTGCTCAAGAGATGACTTATCTCAAAGTCTTTCCTGTAAAAAAAGGAAACATGGTTTACAACTGAATTGTGAACACAAACATTGTTAAATGCTAGTTTCCAACAGACTTACTTCTTGAGTTTCTCCTCCAGCTGTTGTTTGTCATTCTCTAGGTCCATTATGGATTCCTGGGTCAACTTCAAATCACCTTCAAGTTTTCTCCTGACCCTCTCAAGGTCCATGCGCATCTTCTTCTCTTGCTCCAATGATCCTTCAAGCTGTTTTCCAGACCAAAGTATGAAGTTTGAAAAGAGATCAATCAAATTCACAATCAACTCCACTGTTATACTAGTTGTACTCACATCATCTACTTGTTGTTCAAGTTTAGTTTTAGCTTTTGTCAGGCTATTGACTTTGTCCTCTTCCGCCTGAAGGTCATCAAGCATTTGCTGGTGTGCTTCTTGGAGGGCTTTCTTCTCCTTGGTCAACTTTGCAATATTCTCATCTTGACTAGATATCTCCTCTGTGAGGTTTTTGACCTGTAGAGATCAGCAGTTGTTATAAGAAAAGAGTCTACTTGGTTTGTTCTAACTCAGCTCGTCCATCTTACAACTATTTCCAGACCTTGTTCTCAGTTGCATGTTTTTCCTTCTCCACTTTGGCCAAGGTAAGCTCAAGGTCATCAATATCCTTCTTCAGCTCAGAACATTCATCCTCCAGTTTCCTCTTTTTGGATGTGAGCTCAGCATTAATCTCCTCTTCATCCTCCAGCCTTTCAGCAGTCTCCTTCAGCTTGGCTTCTAGTTGGATCTTACTTTTGATCAATCCCTCACATCTCTCCTCCGCATCTGCAAGATGCTCACTTTCCTGAAAAGATGCAAGAAATTAGTAAGCCTTTTGTCAATTACTCTGGTTTTCTTCATTTTCCACTTACAACACATTTGCACAGTGTCCATATTGTGCTTATTTAGGTTCAATAGTCACCCAAAGTCAATAGTCACCCAAATCTTTTCCATAAATGAATCTCCAAAACTTCTCTAATCCACTCAAACCACATCCAGATCTGTGCACAGATGGATGCCACCTTGTTGATGCCTTTAAAAACACATTATGATTTACTGTGAACTATAAAAATGAGTGAAACTTTTCTGTGTAGCTGAACTAGAATTTGATTTTTTTCTAAGCTGAATTAGATATTTTGCCAAACCATTCTTTTAATATGCATAATTTGAGAAACAGGTTAAAAACAAAAAAAAGTCTGGTATGTAGGGGATGATGGAACTTACGGCATGAATTTGTAAAACAAGATCATTTTTCTCCTGAAGCAGGGAAACCATTTTCTCCTCCAGCTCTTTTCTTTTTGCTTCTGCTTTGGCCAGCTCCTCCTTGCACTTCATAAAATCTTCCTTCATGGTAGCCATCTCTTTCTCCGTTTCAGCACTCTTGAGCAGAGGCTTCATCTTAAAAAACAGTTTCATCCATGGCCAGTGTTTCACATTCATGAACGAACGAATGTTATATTGGATGGTATAAATAGCATCCCTAAAAAAGATGTAAACCACACGCAAATGAGCTGACAAGTATAAACAATTTAGGCTAGGTGTTAACTGGTGCATTGGAGTTATTGTACATACTTCTGAGCATACATCTTTGCAAATTCCACTCTCATGAGGTATCCACGACAAAGGGCCTGAGTGCAGGTCACTAGAGAAGCCAGCTTTTCATCTCTCATCTCCTCTAGCATCCCCAGCAAGCCCGCTTTGAAAAATACCTTTAGGCAGATATCATAGACAATTTATGATGATAGGTATCTCGGATATCAGTACAATTAATGATAAACTGTATTATTATTCAATTAATTTCCTACTTGATATAACAGCATCAGTTTTGAGCAGAGATGTTTACAAGTCAAGTCTTAAGTCTATGGAGTCTTTAGTAAAGAATTTTATTTTTGTCTTGTTATTAGCTGCAATGATTGCATTGTACAAAAGAAAATCTCTGCTAAAAACCTGTCAGGAACAACACGATTCAAAATAATGAGCCCTTTATTATAGAAATCCTTTCAAACCGAAGGACAAAACTGAAGTGCTACACACAGTAAATGTGGTGTTTAAAGAAAAGAGGCGAAACAACTTGTAACAGGTGGTTGATCTGCAGTTTAAATAGGAAATACACCGATCAGGCATAACATTATGACCACCTCCTTGTTTCTACGCTTATTGTCCATTTTATCAGCTCCACTTACTATATAGGTGCACTTAGTAGTTCTGCAATTACAGACTGCAGTCCATCTGTTTCTCTGCATACTTTGTTAGACCCCTTTTATCCTGTTCTTCAGTGGTTAGGATCCCCATGGACCCTCACAGAGCAGGTACTATTTGGGTGGTGGATCATTCTCAGCACTGCAGTAATACTGATGTGGTGGTGGTGTGTTAGTGTGTGTTGCGCTGGTCTGAGTGGATCAGACAGCAGCGCTGCTGGAGTTTTTAAACACCTCAGTGTCACTGCTGGACTGAGAATAGTCCACCAACAAAAAAAAATATCCAGCCAACAGCGTTCTGTGGGCAGCGCCCTGTGACCACTGATGAAGGACTAGAGGATGACCAACACAAACTGTGCAGCAGCAGATGAGCTATCGTCTCTGACTTTACATCTACAAGGTGGACTGACAAGGTAAGAGTGTCTAATAAAGTGGACAGTTAGTGGACACAGTGTTTAAAAGCACTTGTACCAGCACAACACACACTAACGCACCACCACCACGTACAGTCTGTAATTGTAGAACTACAAAGTGCACCTATATAGTAAGTGGAGCTGATAAAATGGACAATGAGTGTAGAAACAAGGAGGTGGTCATAATGTTATGCCTGATCGCTGTAAATATCATTTGAGAAATATCACTAAAGTTCAGCCTTTTCTCTCTCAGAGTGATGCAGAGAAACTTGTTCATGCATTCGTTGCAGCAGAGTTGATCACTGTAATGATCTTCTTACTGGACTTCCTGAGAAAACAGTACATCCTTTACAACTCATACAAAACGCATCAGCATCCTAACAAAAACAACACAGAGAGATCAGATCAGTCCTGTTTAAAAGAGCTGCACTGGCTGGTACTACAATTACTACAGAACTACATAATGTTATGCCTGATCAGTGTATGCTTGCTAGCGCAATAGCTAATTCAGCTTTTAGTAAGTTTTAAAGTAAGCTGATCTTAAACTTCTTAAGCCAAATTAGCTATTGCACTAACTAGATTAGATAAATTCCTACCTTTGTATGGCCAAACTTGTACTGAGTGTGATCAATATCAATCGATCCCAAGAGCTTCTCAGAAGCCTTCTTGCTATCGATGAACTGTTTTTCTGGAATAGCACTAGCATTCAGGACCCTGTACCTGTAATATACAAGATCACGCAATGTAGACTACAGATCAGGCCCTAATAACAGATTCAGCACCGTTCAGATAGTAGCGGAATTACCTCTGCTTGAAGTCAGCATAAAGGATTCTGCTGGGAAAGCCTTTCCTGCAGATCCTTATACCCTCCAGCACACCATTACAGCGTAGCTGGTGGATGACCAGATGGTTTTCCATTATACCTAGTTGGGTGTTAAATTAAATTTTGATTACAATCTTGTAAATAATAATGTGCAGCAACCTTTGGCTTAAAAATGCGCATGTGTTTATTTTATACTGTGTGTACCTGGAGTCTTCACCTCATTTGGAATAAGGCATCGCACAAAGTGAGGATGTGTGCTCCTCAAGTTGGTCATCAGCTTGCCAAGATTCTCCTACAGGTAAATAGCTCAATGAAAGATCAATCATTTTTAGAAAATAAAATCTGAAAGGAAATTCTGGTACCGATCATACGTACCCTGAATAAGGCTGAGACCGTCTGGAAAGAACCTCCCTTCTTCTTTCCTCCTTTTTTTCCTCCTCCACCACTGCTTGCATCTTTACCACACAAAACACATGCAGCAATGATATCTGACTGATCTATTCAGTGCAATCAAATTTCACTATAATTTAAGTATGTATCACTATAGATTTACCTGTTTCTGCGGATGAAAAGGAGGCATATAGGAGAGCCAGCAGCTTGACTGAAGACTTTTGGTATAGCTGAACAACAGACTCATTCAATGGGTCTTTGTTCTTGTCCAGCCAGCCAGCGATATTGTAATCCACAGTGCCAGCATAGTGCACCAAGGAAAAGTGCGCCTCTGCCTTGCCTTTGGTAGGTTTGGGCTTCTGAAAGGCATTGTTTTTCCCCAGGTGTTGATCATAGAGCTTGTTCTTGAAGGATGTGTCTGTGGCCTTGGGGAACATACACTCCTCCTCAAGGATGGAGAAGATGCCCATTGGCTATAAAACAACACATCTGTTAGAAAAGCATCAAAAAGACACTTCATGATTTTAAGTAAAAGTTGACTTACCTTCTCAATAAGCTCAATGCAGGCAGCCAGGTCCATTCCAAAATCTATAAACTCCCATTCAATTCCCTCTTTTTTGTACTCCTCTTGTTCCAGCACAAACATGTGGTGATTAAAAAACTGTTGCAGTTTCTCATTGGTGAAGTTGATGCACAACTGCTCCAGGCTGTTGAACTATAAGCACAATCAAGCTATGAACAACAGAGTCATCATATACGAACCCAATTCCACAAAAGTTGGAACACTAGGTAAAATGCAAATAAAAATTTAAAGCAGTGATTTGTAAATCTTTTACAAGTATGTAAACTAAATAGCAGAAAGTAAAGGCATTTAATATTTTACATTATTAACTTCATTTACTTTTGTAAATATACACTAATTCCGAATGTGATGCCTGCAAAACATTCCAAAAATGGTTGAGCCAGGGGAAATGCAACAATGAGACAGGGGGCAATGTGGAATTATCACACTGCTCTGTTTTGGAACTTTGCAAATGTAAACAGGTGAATAGGTAAGATGCTAGCATGAATTGTCATACAGGGCTATTCAAGAAAGGCTCAGTCACTTTTTTGTGAAAAACTGCATGAACGAATGGTTCAACAGTTTTAGAATGTTTCTTGATGCACAATTGCAAGATTCATAGAATTTGGAGAAATCTGTGCATAAGGTCAAGGACAAAAACCAATATTAAATGCCTGTGACCTTTGATCCCTCAGATGGCACTGCATTAAAAGCTGACCTTTCTGTAATTATATAACCACATGGGCTTGGGAATACAAAGTGATGATGCAAAGTGGAAATGTGTGTGTCCAGCTTTCAGATTGTTTTTGGAAAGGATGGACATTGTGTTCTCTGGGCCAAAGAGAGGAAGGACTATCCTGATATTTACTAGCACAAAGTTCAAAAGCCAGCATCTGTCATGAGATGGGAGTGTGTTAGTGAAAATGACATGGCTAACTCGCACATCTGTGAAGACACGATTAATGCTGAGAGGTACATACGCAATTTGGAGCAACATATGCTGGCATGTAGATTTATTCCAGTAAGAAAATGCTAAGCCACATTCTGCAACACTGTGGCTTCATAGTAAGAGAGTGCAGGTGGTAGACTGGCCATCTTGTCTTGTTTTACTGTTTTCAGTTAAATATAGGTCAGAAAGCATCCAAATACTACGCGGTTAGGTGCCTTATAATATAAACCTTTAAAACAAGCGAAGCTTTTTTTACTTACATCAAAGATCTCAAAACCAGCAATATCAAGCACTCCAATGAAGAAAGCCCGAGGTTGCTTGGTGTCCAGCATCTGATTAATTCTAATGACCATCCACAAGAACATCTTCTCATAGACAGATTTAGCCAATGCCCCAACTGAATTGACAACCTGAAGAAGTTTTAATGAGAGTAAAGTTCTATTTGATTTCACAGAAGTTATACAGTTAGCTGAAAAAGATAACAGGTAAGTTACCTGTTGAACAGTCTGTCCTTTGGTGACATATTCATTGCCAACTTTCACTCTGGGGTAGCAAAGAGCTTTCAGCAACTCAGCAGAGTTCAGGCCCATCAGGTAAGCGATTTTATCAGCCACTACAGCGAGAGCAAAACTACACGTATGAAACATCTACAGTACTGTGCAAAAGTCGGAAACCACCTTTCAAGTATTTAGTTTCCAGTAAAACCAGCCATTAAGTACAAGTCACAATTTTTTCAAAAGTTATTTCTGAGGAAATTAGGTGTAAGATCTAATAGATGTTAGATATAAATCTACTTGCACAAGGAAAACTCAATGCTGTGGGTCTAAAAGTATGTGTAACTGTCAAAAATCTGTACAGAGATGCTTCTTTGTAATTTTCTGTTAAGTATATGTTTACTGCTTTTTCCTTACTTGTATTTAATGGCCATTGTGGCTGGAAATTAAACAAATTAAGGGTGGACTCATGGACTAGTTTAATTAGAGACACCATTTTCATAACAGCAATGCACACACATGTGCAAATACTAAATCATCTACACAATGCAACAAAAATGTATACAGAAAAGCCACAAGACTGAATCTGTCTGATTACCCTCTGTGCCATCAGGTTCAGCCTGCTCTTCACGCTGCTTCTGCTTAAACTTCATGTTTCCATAATGCATTACTGCTCCAGTCAGCTTGTAGATGCTCATCTTTTCTTCAGGAGTGAAGCCCAGGATGTCTATAGCTGTCTAATAAATACAATGTGGAGTGTCAAGCATACTATAATGGCATTTGTAGGAATACTGGCAAAAGATAACTTCAGACTGAGCAATCCTCACATCTGTGGCTTCCAGCTCCTCCTTGTCATTAATGCTAGCCACTGTGATCTGGCCCTGGCTAATTGAGGGGAAATCATACGGGTTGGTTGTAATAAGAAGCATATCTGAGAAAGAAGATGAAAGAAAGAAAAAGGTAAGACAAAATATATGGGGTGAATCGATGATTGGTTGTATTTTGCATGAAAGCCTTGCCAATTAGCTCTTGCTTGTGTCCAGTCAGGATCTGATAAAATATGTGGTAGCTCCTCTCATCAGCTAGCTGGAAGGTCACCCTTGACTTCTCCAGCAAATCTGAAGAAAATCAACCAAAAATATGACCACTGCAATGCCTGTGCAAGATATAACTGATTCTACTTTAGTTATGTGAGAAGGACATACATGTTTCAATGTCAGCTGAAGCCAGTTTTCCAGAGGTTCCAAAATGAATTCGAATGAATTTACCCTGTTGAAGACCAAACAGGAGGTAAGACATGCCACTTTTACCACATTAGTGCACTCTGCCCATAAGAAACAGGAGGAAATATAAAAAACCACACTCACAAAGCGAGAGGAGTTGTCGTTCCTAACAGTTTTGGCATTGCCAAAGGCCTCCAGGAGAGGGTTTGCTGAAATGATTTGATCTTCCAGCGTTCCCTATGAAAGTTGATTTTGAATATTAAGAAGGCCATCAAAGTGCTCTCTGACTTATGCTGTGATCTGTTTGAAGTCTCTTATACCTGCACCTTTCCTGGTGTTGCCTCTTTCTTTTTGTCTCCAGACACTGCGATTGTCGCAAAGTACTGGATGACACGCTTGGTGTTCACAGTCTTGCCTGCACCAGATTCTCCACTGCAGTAAGACATAATGTTAAAATGCACAGCTAGTCATTCATAACTATGTTTAGGGATTAATGAAGTAGTATGAAATAAGTGGTAACACCTAGGGACTTTATAACACGTGCACTGATGAACATATTCTAAAAGCACTTGAGTATTAATGAACAGTATAAGTTCTTGAGTATTTATGAACAGCTTATGTCAGTATTTTTTTAAGATATTTAATGAATTAAATAACATTGTATTGACAGAAGTGTCTGTAAACTTAACTGACAAACATTTGTTCCATTTGCAATGAAGGCATCATATAACTAATATATGGCATCACAACTACATCTCTGCCTGTCCACTGGTTTAGTTTAAGGGCTCTTACTTATATCATTTTGCCAGTACCAGCATAAGCTATTCAAAAACATTACTTTTTTAAATGCGTTATTTAATGTTTATCCATGTAATGAAGTCTCTATGTAGATAGCCTTCATACGAAGGGTTACCAAACAAACTGACTTACGTGATCAGGATGGACTGGTTTTCCCGGTCTACAAGTGAAGCATTAGACAGATTAGCTTTGTAGAAGTGTGAAAAGTATTTATTCTTTTTAAGCTTTTTGAGACTTATGAAGAGCTACAATATTCATCTGTTCATCTAGTGCAACCATCAATCAAATAAAATTCAAGATCAATAAAAAATTCTGTATTTAAACTAATAAATAGTAGCGGCATTGTTATAAGTTTAACTCACCAGTCAGCATATTTTGATACGCATTATCAGATACAGAGAAAATATGCGGTGGGGCTTCCATGCGCTTTTTGCCTCTGTAGGCAGATACCACCTCAGCACTGTAGACTGGGAGCCACTTATAGGGATTCACAGTCACACAGAACAGGCCAGAGTAGGTCTGCAAAGACAGTATTCATGTGACATTAATATGCTTACTGTGAGAGCCACACTTACACAATTTGTCCAAAAGTATTGAGACAGCACTTCTAGTACTTCTTAGTGAATTCAGCTCCGGTAAGGTGCACCTATTGCTGACACAGGTGTTCAGTTGCGCAGCCTTTTCAATCTCCATAAAAAAAGGCATTCCTTACAGAATGGGACGCTCTGGAGCAGCTACACATGAGCCGAAGGATGACATGCCTGATAGAGGGGTATAAAGTCCTGCAGTACTGGGCTTTGGAACATCTTCTGGAGTAACGGAGCACCACCAAATACCTTTAGGTTGGTGTGGCGCTTCTGATCAAGAACTAATCATTCAGCATCAGTACCTGGTCTCACTAATGCTCTTGTGACTGAATGCAATTGAATCTTCACAGCAATTGTCCAACATCTACTGGAGGATGTTATGGCAGCAAAGAGACAAACTCTATTAATACCAGTGATTATAGAAGAAACACTGGATGAGCAGGTGTCTACAAACTTTTGGACATAGTGTTTATGCAGCAGCCTGGTCATTTTTCTCAGCTATACTTACATAGATCATCCATGCTGCGTAGCGCTCTTTGAGGTTAAACAGCACAGAGGGCTCATTAAGGTGGGTCATCATGGCCATGTCCTCTATCTTATCATACTTGGGTGGGTTCATAGGGTGACAGTCCTCATCTTTAACGGTTACTGTCTGCAAGTGTCATATATTAAATCACAGTGAATCTTCATAAAAGAATACACCAGCATTTTCAATCTTGATTTAGTATCAGCCCAGTGACCTACAAGTGTATTTCAAGCTAACCGATTTTCTGTTATTTTATAGTACAAGGAGGGAAACCTGTTCATTTTTTTTATTTCCAGTCAAAATGACCAGTAAGTTATTCATTTTTTAGCTTCAGAAAAAAGCAAGAAAGATATATTTAAAAGAAAATTACACAAAAGCATCCAACAATAAGTATAATATCAAATCAGTATTTCATTTGTCTAAACTTTATTTTTTTGTGTACTCTGCTGTCACTTTAACTCTTCCATCTTTCCACATCTGAGATGTGGTGATTGTATAGATTGAGTATAAATTTCTAATTGAAATGAAATGACTTGCATCATAAGAATCAGAAAATGCAACCAATTTCTAAGACTGAACTTTTGAGATGTTTTCAAGAAGCAAATAATTTCTTTGAAAAACTGAAAGCAAGTCTCCTGAATCGAATGGAAGCTGTAATAAAAGAAAAAGTGTGGACACACTAAATACTAACAATATATATATTATTTTTAGTTGTTGGGGCTTCTGTGTAATTTTCTATTTAATATATGTTCTCCCTTGCATACTGTTTTATACTATGTTTTACATACTATGTTATTATTTCTCATTACTGTAAAACTGTATGTTGTGTTGCATTGTTTGCCTTTGCTTTGCACTGCATGAAAAGATTTATTTTATTGAAAAACTCTCTCATTAAAGAGAAGCTCACCTCTCCAGCCTCTGTCTTCACAGTGGTTTTGCCACCGTCTTTGCTCTGGATGACTGCTTTGATGTACAGTTCTTTGGGATCTGGGACGAAGCAGGCAGTTTTAGCATCAAACGGGCGATTCTGGGCCTCTATCCTCTCCTTTTCCGGCTTGCGAAGATAGGGAGCAGCCGGCCCATACTGGGCCATCTCTGCATCAGTGCTCATGATGGCTGCAAACTGAAAGAGAAAACATTCATGTAGTAAGAAGATAATAATTAAATCAAAGGACAAAGAAGAAATTAAATTAAATGATGTAATTGGATCACCTGCTCTCCCCTTCTTTGACAGTTGTTATAAGATTAAGTTCTGCAAATAACAACAATTCTTTACTCTTCATACCATGTTTTATATTCATTCATTCATCATTCAGAAAAGTACATAACAATCTAGAAAGCCATAACCTATCCCTGTTTATATACAGATAACAGAGTGAAGAAAGCAATGAAACAGATGACTGGAAACACATACCACTGGTCTGCACACAACTGGACATGTCCATGGAAGAAGAGGCAACTGGTGCTCCTTTTATTAAGATCAATGTGCCAGATCAGCGAAACACACTCTCTATATTTGGGCATGTAATTCTATTCAAATATCATTCAAGTCACATTATCAATTTCTTCTGGGCTCTTAAGTATAGCATCAGGCCCTCAAGGGGTAATCAGATGGGTCACCACGAACAGGTGACCATGCTCACACATCAGGAGTTATTTTTACATGCCTTCAGTTCTAAAAACCACAGGGTTAGCCTTTGTGACCGTCAGTCTCAGATCACACAAATGAAAAATGTATACAATGCCATGGAACTGCAATATGTAGTATATATGATTATGAAAAGCATTTGAAATGATGATCCTCAAGGACATTTGGATAGATTACATCGAGGAATTCTTTAACTCCCAGGTCCTTTCTGCTGTATATCATTTTATTTTATTATTTATGCATAGTATTTCAAATATTGTATAGTATTTTAATATTTTTAAAGTATTATTATTATTACTATTATTATTATTATTATAAATAAATAAGTCAAAGTTTATTTATATAGCGTTTTTTACAACAGGTGTTGTCACAAAGCAGCTTTACAGAAAAAAAAAATCCGGCTACGAGCCCCCATGACCAAGCCAATGGCGACAGTGGCAAGGAAAACCTCCCTAAGACCAAGAGGAAGAAACTTTGAGAGGAGCCAAGAATCAAAAGGGGAACCCATCCTCCTCTGGTCGACACCGGACAGCAAACAGCATTAGTATAAAATATTAGAATACAAAATGGAGAAAAGCAGGTGGAGCAATGGTTAATTAAATAAATAAATAAATAACACACATATATATATATATATATATATATATATATATATATATGTGTGTGTGTGTGTGTGTGTGTGTGTGTATACGCTTAAAATGATGATGCTTTAAAGGTTTTTAAGTAAAGAAAATGTATGCTTAAATGGTTCTCTGCACTGTGAAAGGGTTCTTCAGATTGACGGAATATGTGCTGTAGATGGTTTCTTGGCTTTCTAAAAAGGTTCTTACATAACACCAAAAAGGGTTTTCCTATTGTAACAAGCTTGACATCGTAACAACAGAGGAACAAAACAACACTTTATTGTGCTATGTGGAAACCTTCACAAAAAGGTTCTCTATAGAACCATCTACAGCACATTCTCCATCAATCTAAAGAAACTTTTCATGATGCAAAGAACCATTTAATCATGCAATGGTTCTTTGAGTGTTCATGGTTCTATATAGCACCATTTTCTTTACTAAAGAATATATATATATATATATATATATATATATATATATATATATATATATATATATATATATATATATATGTGTGTGTGTCTGTGTGTATATAATCATTTATACAGATTTCATATTAAATTTTTAACATCAACCATTAAACATGTTCCATATAGTTAACATTTAATGTTAGTGTTATAATATTAGTATTTCACATAATCATTTATAAGAATGATTTTGATCTTCATTTAACATAACCCTATTGTGTCTTACAACAGCTGTTAGAAGTAATTGTCTGTGTTCTAGCACACAATACGGACCTTTGTTGCAGTCAGATCACATGACTAAATGACTAAATCCCTTTCCGACTATGTGAAGTTCAGCTGGTGCTTTCTATGACCATTCACTAATCAAAGTTGCCCCCCGGGCCCAAATATACCCTCACAAAGCTCAGCCTGACGTAAAGTTGAATTGTTCAGTCGCGCTAATCTGTAAGAATGCTTGTCTAACATCCTGCTGAAGATCCCCAGTGGAGGACACTAACTGTAGGACGAGCTCCACACCTGTGCATAGTATGGTGTATGCTAAACATAGAAGCCCTTATATAAAATGTGTAAGGTATATTGCTGTATGTTGAGCTGCTACATTTCCGTTCTTTAATGCTTGGAAAATAGTAATACACTGACTGCTGTCAGCTACTAGCTAATACTAACAGGCGGCAGAAAATACAAACCTCAGTACAGAAAAATGTATATGAAATGCTAATAAAACACAAAATAGTGATTAGTTAATTTGGTATAGTCCAAAAACATGGCATTGTCAAGTTGAAATAAGCATGGATGTCTCTGAAAAAGACATCCATCCAGAAGGCTCCAAAATATGCATAGCTTTAATGTTGCCTTCACAGATGTGAAGGTTACCCATGCAATGGGCACTGAAGAGCCCCATACCACGACAGATGCTACGTGGTAACAATCTGGTTGTTCATTTTCTACTTTGGCCCAAAGAACACAACCACTGTGCATCAGTCCATTTCAGAACAAGCCCGGAGAAGTTGGTGGTGTTTCTGGACGTTGTTCACACATGGCTTCCGCTACATATATTACAGGCTTAACTTGCATTTGTGGATGCGAATGGAGTTTACTGGCAGCGATTTGCAAAAGGTTCCCAAGCCCATGTAGTTTCCTGATGCATTTATTGGCATAGTGGCAAGCCTTGCTCATTAAAGACTGGGCCTTTCCTGGATGCTCCTTTTATACTAAAGCATGACTGCGTGACCTGTTTAAGATGTTTTTTGAAAATCGTAAATTACCCCTGTCACAACTTTTTCATGACATGTTGCAGGCATCAATTTCAAAACATATATTTACATCGTTACATGGTTACATGGATTTGATACAACAACAACAATATTTTTTCCATGTGGAAATGATGAACACATTTGAGTCAAGTAAATTCAATATACATTTTTTCTGATACAGCATAAATGGGAAAACACATTTATACATTTTGAACTATAAATGTTTCATATTTCAGGAGGAGACCATTGTGGCCTATAACTATTTAAATAATCTTAGTTAAGTTGCAACCCCTGAATTCTCATCCTCTGATCTATGTTTACAAGCTGTGACCTCAGCAATGCCATCAAAGGGATAATATAACAGATGGCTACTATAAAGGGAAATGGATAGAACAAATGAAAAATAGAGCAACAGAAATAATATTAGCCAAGGTATAAAAATACAGGGTGATTTTTTGTCTTCAGCAGTTACAAGTACAATGTGTCTAAAAACAGAATTTAAAACAACACCTGATTAATGTGAGATCAATACGATTACATTTCTCATATAAACATCCTGAAAGCAACAACAGCCATCTAAGAAACTGTGAAAGATGATGTGTAACTGGAACAGATAAAAATAACACTGTGTACAATGGGATATTGAGGCCAAATAAGACTTTCTATTTTAGTGAAGATCTAGTTTAATTCAGCACAGAGGTTTAAGGGCGTTTTTAGGGCTTCACCAAATTTATTTCGGCAACAACTGTGTTTGTGAAATCCATCAGTGAAGTATGTAGAAGAGTAGCTCAGTGCTGATACCTGGGAGAGAGAACAATGATGATGAACAGTGTGATGCTGTGTTGTTGTGCAAAAATAACAGTTTCTTGAGTATCTCAAGTACTGCTCTACAGCTGTGACTAAGAATCCCTGTCCATGTGGCACAGGCTTTGTGGATCAATGTGTCCTAGAATAAAACTTAGATTCTCATTGTTCCATCTTGTCTAAGAGTGCATTAGATGTCATAAACTATATGACAACTGAGACTGACTTCATGACGAAAACCACTTGTTAGTGAGGCTAATTGGAAAAAAAATGCTTCAGTTCGCACAGAGAGGTTCGACTCTCATCGCCAATACAAAATCTCGACCAAAAATTAATGCAACTTTGGGTGGAAATAAATGTTGCGACGTTCCTTCCCTGATAGCAGGAGAATAGTGATGGCAAAGCTGGAGGTCCACTGGCTTTTTGCTCAGTGTTTTCTGGGTGGCCCACTAGTGTTTAAGCAGAGTATTAGACAAAATTCCACTTAACATCGCTCATTTTCCACTCACAGTCCAATTTACTGATTTTTCCTTACTTACATTCTTTAGTTATACTTTGTAAATTAGTGTAGTAAATAATGTTAATCTAGCTCAGTGACAACAACATTTTCTATAACAACATTTTATATCAGGCCTAGTCATTATTTTTCTCAGTTGTTTGTAATATTTGTTCATTTTCTAAAATAAAAGTCTATGCATTTAAAATCTGTTTAAGGAGATTAAACACTAGGTAGAGCTTGTATGCAGAACAATAAACTGGGTGGTCCGAGGGTGGACCAGCAGTGCCAAACAGTTAGCGGGGTGCCGACCTTATCAAGCCAGTGGACCAATATATGCTCGCTGTCTGGGTTAAGGTTGTTGAAACAATGACACGGCGAATGCGCACTTTAATCAAAGCTAAAGGTGGTCTAACAAAATAAGAGTGTGTGAACCACAATAGTCTGAGGTGTGCAGAGAATGCTACAGCTTCAAGGAAAGTCCATATTATGCTGCACTTTTGATGTGCTCAATGGACTGTAGCATCAGATAGTATAGTCTTCTATGTTTTTGCACCAAGTCAGTATCCTGTATTCCATAATGATGACTGAGAAAAAAATGGCATGGTCTTACACAACATGATCATTACTGACATTTTCAAAATGTTTTGAAAGTGCATAGTGCTATGTAATTGGAACAGCATGGTTTGTAAAAGGCAGCATGTCATTTTAATGAAAGTGTTTTTTTACGTTTGCAACTTTTTTTTATATTTATTTATTTATTTATTCTTTTGTAGTTTGGGTTTTTCTCATCCATTTTTAGACACTTAATACTTGTTTT